GGAGGAGAAGTAGCACCATTTTCTGGCCTTGGTGTGGTCTAAGCCGCACGGAGCGTAATTAATGGGCGGCGGCGACGACCGATTTTTTTGTTCAACTGCGCATGCGTTTGGATTACGCGCTGTATGTCCGGTCCAACTGTCGTCCATTCGGCGGCATTCGCTGCATCCTGACAGAGGCTGTACTTCTTTGTGGTTCCAAGGTGCAAGTTGTAAATAGGGTAGGATGGCTCGTGCCATTGGGTACCCGCTACCGCTCGCCAAATAGCTACGTACGTAATGCGCATGCGGTTAGTGTTTGGTTATGGTGCCGTGTAGAGCAAGTGACGATTACATTGATTAGTCATTATTATCAAATTTCCCATGCGTGTCAGCCTTTAGCACCTGTTAGAATCATCCTTGAACAAGCAGACAACAATAGCTACGTGTGGGTGTGTCAGGCCACCTGCCAACAAGACCGCACCTCTGTGTTGACTGCCAGTACAGTACAGTACAGATTCAACTGCACCATCATCAGCAGCTGCCATGTCGGGCTCAGTAACTCTGCTGCTGAATGTGACTGGGATATTATTATAGATAGCTACAGCGACAGAGACTGGACATGGTTAGCACAACCTCTCAGATGATGACAGTCTAGCTTTCTAAACCAAAAAAACAAAAATGTAGCATGAAGATATGCATGTGCTCGAGTACAAACTCATACCATGAATGAAAACACGAAACAGAACATTATGCTGAGTTTTTCTGACACTGAATAGGCTTAGAGACTTCGTAGAGCTCATTCTTGTGAAGTTTAATTGGTTTTGTGTACTCATACACCGGATTAGGACCAAGCATTATGTCACCGTCCTTCGTACCACCAACTGTGGAAAAACAATCACACAAGTCACTGAAAACCCACATGTACAGAACCCACAGGCAGTATTAGTGAGTACTCCTCTTCCTGTATAATAATAATTATTACAGGAGGTTTACCTTTTCTCCTTTTCATGGAGATGAGTAAGATTACCAGAGTGAAAACGACGACTATCAACAGTGAGAAAATAACAGGAACTGGAAAAAAGGGAACAATTATAATGCACACATTACAGGAGAAAACGTCCTTACCCATGGTTGTAAACAGCTTGAGAATTCCTTGCTCGGTATCAGTGGTTTTCCGTGGATGTGTGGGTGTCATGCTACTGTCGTGCAGTTTCCAAGTAGAGACTGTTTTATACGGTGGACTACTGTGTCCTGATGCTTTGCTCAGATCCTCGGCTTGTGTGGGTAAGGATGAGTGTAAGCCAGTGTGAGTAAACCTCTCAACTGTTGGGTCTGGTGCCTCTGCAATACCGATTTGGACATTAAACATTAAATTCTAACAGCCATTTCAACCCAACCTTGTACAATCAACACTGCTGTCTTGGAGTTGATCCATATCAGCTCTGGATATTCCTGCACAGCCACACATCGAACCTGTGTGTTGTTGTTGTATACATGTCCAGCCACTTTCAGCTGCGATCTGGTGTGATCGTTGGGTTCTGGGACAATGATGACTCCTCTCATTTGAAACACTGTGTACCCAGCATCTGAACCGTTTACAAGCCAGACTGTGCTCAAGTTCACGACAGAGCATCTGAATAGAGCTGTTTCAGATTCCTGAACTGTCGTATTCTGTGGCTCCTCCAGGAACACCTCGGTACCGGCCCCTCTTGGAACGAGGGCTAGAACATAATGAATAATCTATGAAACGCTGAGTGGCCATGCCAAGTACATTTATCATACCTACCTGTCGCAACCCAAAGAAAGAGCAATACTGTTCTAACGATTGTTGGAGTCAACGATGATGGTGTGATCTTTTCCATCCAGGCTTAGGCCGTTCGGAGTTCACGCGGTATGTACACTGACCGATTGACAGACGCAGTATAATAAGTACGTATATATTATATATATATACATACGCGCGCGTGAGCATCCGCGTGACGCGTGCGTGGCTCCGCCTATCTATTTTTGCTCGGGCATGCGCGATACAGAGCGTGTTGCATGGACTACTGTCCTCCAGATCTTGTGTTCTCACTCGTAGTTCTCCACCATATTCTATCTACTCGCACGCGTCTTCTACCCTGATTCACTTCATCTTCGCCCGCACCTAGGGCTACTCTCCTTCAGTGGAGGTTACAAAGAAGAAGAAGAAGAAGAAGTTAGGACTCTGTCCTGTGTTCTCGCTCTCTGTGGTTCCAGATCTCCTGACTGTGGCGGACTATGCAGGTAGGCCAATCACACTCCTGGCAGTCTTTGACTTTTCCTGAGAGATTGCCCCGTCCCCGTGTAGGAGCTAGCTAAGTAAACTACCCGCTCAGACCCTCTGTTGTGCTGTCGTTGAAGTACTAAGTTATACTTGAGCTCTTATGTGTGTGTGTGTGGATGTGGATGCAGGCTTTGCTACTACTGGTGTGTGTACTTGGCTTTGCTGGTACTGAGGTGTGCCCAGTGGTGACGAGTGGGTCCGTATGCAAAATCTCTCTGTCTCCACCTTGCACGTTTGACCTGACTGACTCTCCATGTGATGTCCTCAATATTACTCTGGAGGACAGCACCAATGGCTCCTGCATCTGGAGATGGAAACCTGATGACTCAACGAATTTCCAACCTGCTAGTGCGACCAGCGGACCTCGTTTCTTGTCACTAGATGTCAGTTATGTGTTTGAGCAGGCAAACATGGAATTGACAATCATATGCCGTTCTTCCGACGCCATTCTAGGGTCAATTAAGTTTCTTCTCCCAGGTACATAAGTAAATTCCTTGCTCATACACCCCGTTTACATTACCCCAGGTGAATGCAGTGCATTTTGGCTTGCCCTTGCTCGTAAACCGTGGAGCGTACATTTACTGCCCCTGCCCTATGCTGAGTATTGTAGCATCCATCCTAAGAGAAGGACTGCACACGACATGCATAGCGTAACACACACACTAATGACATCTAGCTGGGCTATTACCAAGTTCACATCCTACTCTCTCTGTCTCTAGCTGGTAAACCGACAACCCAATTGGTACCTCAACTAACGACAAAACCACCTGCAGGTATATACATACATACATACTGCATACATACATTTACTGCCCCTACCCTATGCTGAGTGTTGTAGCAATAGTTCACGACATGCATAGTGTAACACTCACAAGCTCTTATCCTACTCTTTCTGTCTTTAGCTGGTCCCGGTAAACCGACAACCCCTTTGGTACCTCAACTAACAACAAAACCACCTGCAGGTATAATATTATACATACATACTCGTGTTCTGTATTGCGAGAGGAGCACATGGTGTGTGATAATGTCTTGCAGGTGATAGCTCGCTATCTTCCCGAGGCTTCTCTTCCACGCCATCACCCCCTACAGGAGGAGCAGTACCACCACCTCATCTTCCTCCTCATATTATTAGTGAGCTGTTGTAATGCCTGTACCTGGTTCCTAGTTTTGTCACGCAATAGCTGCACTGAGCCAGTAGCCAGTTGTCATGCAAAATTCTGTCCCACACATGTTGTTGACTTTGTTAGCCTTGTGGCTCCTCCACTCCGCCCTTTTAAACCTATAGAGCAATGTATACAGCACCATGCATCTTTTCTGAGGTGTACGGATCTATCTTTATTGCCATACAGAAAAAATCGTTGGTGTGGTAATAGGTTTTATTGCTGCTGTTGTCATTGTGACCATCGCTGTCATCGCTCTTGGTAAGTGCAAGCTATAGGGAATACTCATTCATTTGTAGTTCAGCAGTATGCCGAAGAAGGAGAATTCTTCCTGACGAACACGCTCATCCTCTCCCACCCGTGCAAGCAGATGAGGAGAGTAAGGAAAGTGCATTAGATAGTCCTCTGAAACAGCAGTCTAGTCCAAGCAGCAGCAGTGTGGGGAGAAGTGAAAGGAGCTCTTAAAGTGCAGGTGTGGTGCCTTTGTGTGTGTGTGTGTATGTGTGTGTGTGTGTGCGTGTGTGTGAGTGTTTGTGGGGGTGATCGAGGAGAAAGGGAGGAAAAGGGGGAGAAAGGAAAGTGACCAAACACAATGAGACCAGAGGCTGGGAGACTTTTGTCAACTTCACTACACGTGGCAGCTCAGTTGTCAAAATTACATGTGCAATACATGTGGCATCACATTGTCTAATACCTTCATGTATTTTTAGATGGACCAGGGTACCCACTTCTGCTTCAGTGTTTTGCGCTTGTGCAGCCCTAGCCTATCACATTGTAATTACACAGTCTCACTCATACAAACACAAAGAGCAGGACATGGATGCCCAGCCTTGAGAACTGGGGACGGTGGGTTAAAGATCTTTGATGGCTAGCCAACTCTCCCCACACATCCAATGTCACAGACTCTTAGGTAAAATCTACAGCTTACAGTACTGTATTGAGGTAGTTACAGTCACATACCTTAGGCTCTCTGGGGGACTTGCAATCCTATGGTTCTACTAATGTACAGTGGGGTATTTATAGGGGGTTGTGATGTCATAGGTATGGAATTTCCTAAGGGGGAAGTGGGTTTGTTACTCTATGCCATGGTCCTAGTGATGTAGTGACACTCACAAGTGTAAAAAGGTGTGTGTGTGTTTGTGGAGGGAAGAAAAATAAAGGAGAGTGCTAGGGATTGAGATGGCTTTTGTACATGGTCACATGCATTGGCTTTTTGAATGCCTGTACACTACAGTCCCACAACCCACCCCCAAACCCAACAACTATAGAACCCTGTCTGCTCGGTCTAGTTTGTCTGTCATCTATCTAATGCACCAGTCGTCAGGGGGGCTCCTGTAGATCATCGTGTAGGCACAGGTTTCGGTCCCTTTAATCTCCCGACCTGTGCCTCACTACCACTGGGGCGGGACCACTCCCACGTAACGGAGTCTGGTATGAACACAGTATTGTCAGTTTGTCTTGCTAGTTTAGTTTGTCCGTTTTTTATAAGTCCTATTTTAGGTTGTGACAGTAAAATAAGGTAGTATGCATGCACAGGAAGTTTACCTACATCCTTACTGCCTTGTTGTGACAAGATTAGACAAGATAACATACCTGCCTTGGGTCATACGGCATCTTTTGCAACCATCGCTTCCAACCATAGCGTGGAATAGTGGTAATCTAATTATTACGTGGGGGCGGCTGAGCATGGGTGTGGTTTTTTACTACATTATGGTGAAGCAAAGTACTGTGTGTGTGGTGTGTGTGTGTGTGTGTGTGTGTGTGTGTGTGTGTGTGTGTGTGTGTGTGTGTGTGTGTGTATGTGTGTGTGTGTGTGTATGGGTGATTTGTCAACAACAAAATTGTGTGTATAATTTTTTCTCTCATTCTGCCCAGGTCTGCTGAAACATAGAGCCACTCTCCCTAAGAGACTCAAAATTTATTATTATTGCCTTTTTGTAGTCACTTTTTATTCTGTAAACCGCCACCACTTTTTTATCCTTACCATGACTACTTTTATCCTTGTGTCTGATTTTGGAGCTACCGCAGGGAAAATGTGCATGCCCTGAATGTATTATATAATGTATTATTACAACTGTGCTGGAGTGTTTTGTCATTATAATTATATCCTGATGCAGACTATATACTCTGCTTGGCCCAAAGCTATTTTGTAGTAGTTACCTGTCTTTGTCGTCTATTGCTAAAAATGCGTCACTCGGCTGGCCTGCCCCCCAGGCCCCAGCCAAAAACACCAATTGACCATGACGAGATCAAAATACAATTTTTATGCCTAATTAGTCACTGGTCATTGCAAGAGTATATAGATATATAGCTACCGCACCATGAATGATAGCTACTGATGAAGCACGACATCCTCGTACGCAGCATTTTGCTGACACTGAATAGGCTTAGAGACTTCGTAGACCTCATTCTTGTGCATTTCAATAGGTTTTGTGCACTCGTACACCGGATTAGGACCAAGTCTTATGTCACCGTCGTCTCCATCTCTCCTACAATCAACTGTGGGAAAACAGAATGTCCCATAAACCCACACAATAGCAGAACCCACATGGAGTAAGTGAGTACTCTTCTTCCTGTATAATATTACATGTTTCATGTGTACCTTTCCTCTTTTTGTTGGAGATGAAGATGAGTAAGATTACCAGAGTGAAAATGACGACTATCAATAGAGAGAAAACAACAGAAACTGGAAAAGAGGGAACAATTACAATCCACGTTATAAGAAAAATAAGCTCTTACCAATGGTTCCAAACAGCACGATAGCAGTACTTTGCTCAGTATCATCATTTGGAGTGGGGTTTTGGCTACTAGTGACTGATTGACTGGGTACAGATGCTTCGATTAGCTCCACAGTTTGTGTTGGTAGGAGTGAGTGTTGGCTAGTGTGAGCCAACTCATGCTGAAATGTTGAATGTGATGTTGCCTCTGCTGCACAGAAGTACACAAAAATAAACTTAACGCACGGCGGACATGTAGTAGCAATGTCATTACCTTGAACTATAAGCCGTGCCCTCTCAGAGTCTGTCCAGGAAAGTACAGGCTCCTCCCCTACAGCTGCACAGTGAACAATTGTGTTGTTATTTCTCAACCGTCCAGCTATTTCCATTCGAGATACGGTGTGATCATATCGGTTGGGAAAGACAACGCGATATCCTATGTCATCGAACTTGGAGTGCCCCGCATCAGAGTCATTCAACCTCCAGTATATTTCAAAACTCGTGTTTATGATAGAGCATCTGAATACAGCCGTTTCCAATTCCTGTACTGTAGCATTCTTTGGTTGCTCCAGGAACACCTCTGGACCTAGATCTAAATTACCTTCTAATGCTATATAGGAAATAATTAGATTAGTCTCATGACTAAAGAACGTTTTTTATTTACCTGTTACAACAGCACTTTGAACAAATAGACAAGACAAAAGCAAAACTATCATCTTCAGACTTTCGGAACCTCCAGTCGTGCATTGTGCGGTTAGCGGCGGGATCAAGGTATAGGCCAGGAAGCACTACATGTTGACGGGGCATGCGCGCGCGCAGCAGCACTTCCGCCACTTGCGGTTTGCGCATGCGCAGGGACACGTGGAACAGAGCTGGCATGGCAAGCCCCAGGGATAGGGAGCGTATATAAGTGCAGCGCAACTGTGGTGTGGTAGAGTGGAAAGGCAGAAAGAAGAGCTTTTGCTTCTGCTGGTTCAGAAGAACGACATACGTAAATATCTCCGAGACTCATTCAATGTAAGGAGGGGGGTTATGTTTTTAGCCTTGAGACCTGTTGAGTGTAGGTGTCTTGGTGGTGCATGTGTCAAATTGTGTTTCTGTAGATGGAAGCTCTGTTGCTGGATTTGATACTTGCTGTCAGTGTTGCTGGTGCTCAGACGTGCCAGGTGGAGGTCGTGTACTTCCAATTTGTTTTGGGTGAACCCTGCACATATCATCTGCCTAATTCCTCGTATGGTATAAATGTCACTGTCAGTGACCTGACCAATACCACCTGCAACTGGAGATGGAGAGCAGACGACCTCACTGCCTTCAATCAGAGAGAACCTGACTTCGGTGTACAGGGAGATTATTTCTGGTTCCTGACAAGTGAGGACATACTTGAGCGAGTGACCCAGGAGTTTGCTATCAAATGTCGACAACTCGCCAGTCTTGGTACAATATACTATAACGTGAAATTTCTTTGCTGTCCAGAAGGACTACAGAGAGAGAGAGAGATGCAAACATGCTTCATCCCCTATCTCCCCCACTAGCTACATCTTCTGTCGACATGACCATAGTTCTCTTCTGACAAACAGTATTAGACCTCAGACACAAGACTATTATAGGGTCCAGCTCTGACACACACCAGATACTGCAACCCCAAGGATCCAAGCACACGAGAGTATAAGACAATTTTTATAGCAATTTTAATAGTTTTTTAAATTATTCTTCAGCCATAGTAGGTTTTAATTTGTCATTCACTTTCAGTGTTTGTAGATAGTTTTTCACACATCTTCATGAATTTTGTTGGTAGCTATTTATGTTGTGGGATGTTTAAACGTCTGGTTAACAGAAGACAGCCTTTGCGTGTGTACGTTTCAGTAATAAGTCATTTTCTAAACACACTTGAGAGAAAATATTATGCACTGTTCATGACACATTAGGCAATTGTTCGTTTTGAGGTGTCATTTCAACACTTGCCTTCGTACCTGCCAAAAAATGAATAAGTTAACCAAGTAAAAGTAGAAAGTAACAGTATCCACCTTTCTTACAACCATGCCTTCTGAAAAGAACAATCGCATTTGCAAGGACTGAGCAGGACAGTAGTATGAAAACCACAGCTATGCCTGAGTGTATATAAAAGATGAGATTATGATAATAGAAGGAGGGGAAGTTAGATGTACCAGCCATGATTAGTATGAATCTCAAGTCCTCTTTCCAAGACTCATCTGTAGAAAGAGAGAGCAGTGTAAGAAATCTCAGTAAAATGAGGGTTTGATGAACCTGTCAGAGGTAGTTGAGATGGTAGAGCGGTGGCGACAGCACTGGGCTCCAGTGAAAGAGATGATGTGCTTACTCCCAGTATATCTGTTGGCTCAGTCACATAAATACACACACTCAGAGTATTACCAAACATGGTCTGACCTTGCACAACAAGCAGTGCCGTCTGAGACTCGATCCAGGTCAGTTGAGGGTCTCTGTGCTCCTGGAGGGCTGCACAGTAAACCTGTGTGTTGTTGTTGTTCATGATTCCAGCCACTTTCAGTTGTGATTTGGTGTGAGTGTTGGGGTCTTCTTTGATGGAGAACCCTCTTTCTCGAAACACAGTGAAGGCAGCATCAGAGTTGTTGACCAGCCAGAAAATACTGAAGGAAGAGTTTACTACCGAGCATCTGAAAGTGGCAGTTTCAAATTGGTTGACTGTAGTTCTCTCTGGCTGATCCACGAAAACACCTGAAAGAAACGCAAGTAGGGCCTTAGAACATAAATAAGCTATGTAGATAACAACCTGCGGCCTTTTCTCCGTCCCCAAAGGTTCTAGTAAACCCTCCAACGCTTATGAAGAGAAGGAGAAGTGGCATCATTTTTACGGGCGTACAGAAGCGGCGCGACTGCGGGAAGCTAGAGAGGCGCAATCATCAATACGTAAAAGTACAAACTGTAATGCGCATGCGTATAGCTTCGGCGGTGACGCACACAGAGAAGCACAGGAGCTAGTGCAGACTACAGATATCTTTGTGCGCTCAAGCAACTGCCCCATCAGCATCAGCAAAACTGCTGTATGTGGCTAGTATATTATAGGCTATCTGAAAGACTGCTCTGCTATAGTTACTGGGCCTGGCCCCTGCTCCCTAGCCCATAACACTGTCAACTGAGCATGAATGAATTACACACTACAATTGTCCTGATTAGTGCGAAAGATACATCACACATGAATGATAACATTAACTACTGATGAAGCACAACATCATCATACGCAGCATTTTGCTGACACTGAATAAGCTTAGACAGTTCGTAGAGCTCATTCTTGTGTATTTCAATAGGTTTCGTGCACTCGTACACCGGATTAGGACCAAGTCTTATGTCACCGTCGTCTCCATCTCTCCTACAATCAACTGTGGGAAAAGCAGAAGGTCCCATAAACCCACACAATAGCAGAACCCACATGGAGTAAGTGAGTACTCTTCTTCCTGTATAATATTACAGGAGGTTTGTTGTTTCATGTGTACCTTTCCTCTTTTTGTTGGAGATGAAGATGAGTAAGATTACCAGAGTGAAAATGACGACTATCAATAGAGAGAAAACAGCAGAAACTGGAAAAGAGGGAACAATTACAATCCACGTTATAAGAAAAAGAAGCTCTTACCAATGGTTCCAAACAGCACGATAGCAGTACCTTGCTCAGTATCATCATTTGGAGTGGGGTTTTGGCTACTAGTGACTGATTGACTGGGTAAAGATGCTTCGATTAGCTCCACAGTTTGTGTTGGTAGGAGTGAGTGTTGGCTAGTGTGAGCCAACTCATGCTGAAATGTTGAATGTGATGTTGCCTCTGCTGCACAGAAGTACACAAAAATAAACTTAACGCACGGCGGACATGTAGTAGCAATGTCATTACCTTGAACTATAAGTAGTGCCCTCTCAGAGTCTGTCCAGGAAAGTACAGGCTCCTCCCCTACAGCTGCACAGTGAACAATTGTGTTGTTATTTCTCAACCGTCCAGCTATTTCCATTCGAGATACGGTGTGATCATATCGGTTGGGAAAGACAACGCGATATCCTATGTCATCGAACTTGGAGTGCCCCGCATCAGAGTCATTCAACCTCCAGTATATTTCAAAACTCGTGTTTATGATAGAGCATCTGAATACGGCTGTTTCCAATTCCTGTACTGTAGCATTCTTTGGTTGCTCCAGGAACACCTCTGGACCTAGATCTAAATTACCTTCTAATGCTATATAGGAAATAATTAGATTAGTCTCCATGACTAAAGAACGTTTTTTCTTTACCTGTTACAACAGCACTTTGAACAAATAGACAAGACAAAAGCAAAACTATCATCTTCAGACTTTCGGAACCGCATTGTGCGGTTATCGGCCGGATCAAGGTATAGGAAGCACTACATGTTGGCGGGGCATGCGCGCAGCAGCACTTCCGCCACTTGCGGTTTGCGCATGCGCAGGGACACGTGGAACAGAGCTGCAAGCCCCAGGGATAGGGAGCGTATATAAGTGCAGCGCAACTGTGGTGTGGTAGAGTGGAAAGGCAGAAAGAAGAGCTCTTGCCCTCTGCTGGTTTAGAAGAACGACATACGTAAATATCTGCGAGACTCCGGCTCAAAGGAAAGGCTTATTCAATGTAAGGAGTTTCTAGGATTCTATGTTTTTAGCCTTGAGACCTCGTTGAGTGTAGGTGTCTTGGCGGTGCATGTGTCAAATTGTGTTTCTGTAGATGGAAGCTCTGTTGCTGGATTTGATACTTGCTGTCAGTGTTGCTGGTGCTCAGATGTGCCAGGTGGAGGTCGTGTACTTCCAATTTGTTTTGGGTGAACCCTGCACATATCATCTGCCTAATTCCTCGTATGGTGTAAATGTCACTGTCAGTGACCCGACCAATATCACTTGCAACTGGAGATGGAGAGCAGACGACCTCACTGCCTTCAATCAGAGAGAACCTGGCTTCGGTGTACAGGGAGATTATTTCTGGTTCCTGACAAGTGAGGAAATACTGGAGCGAGCGACTCAGGAGTTTGCTATCAAATGTCGACAACTCGCCAGTCTTGGTCCAATTACGTTTCTATTCTATGGTGAGTGTGTACTGCTAGAGAGTAGTCTTTCTTGTAGGTCAGCAGAAGTTTTTTTACTTCGTGTCTTTTTGTGCGTGCAGCGGCAGATATTGATGTATCGCCATCAAGTGTTGCGCCATCGTCTACTAGAGGTGAGGGTACGATAACCAGAGGGTGTATTGCTGATATACTGTGATCATCAACAGGTCTAACTTCAGTAGCTCCTAATGCAACCATTCCAATCCAGCCTGGAGGAGTCCTTCCAAATGATAATGAAGATGATGGTGCGTTTCAGTTTTTTTTTTTGATTGGGCATGCATGCATTTTTATTTCCCCCTATTTAACTGTTTTTGCCATACTTGTCCCTCTATAATATATTGAAACAATTCACCAGGCTGAAGGCTTTAGGTGTATACGGGGCCGGTTTCTTTTCTCATGCATGACTCTTTAGGTAGTGTCTGTCTATCTGTAACCATGTTATGTAAACTGGGTTATTTTCGTACAAACACTGCGTTCAAAAGTTACAGCATGAAAACAAGCCAATACACAATGATTACTGGCTTACCTATCGACCACATTCTGCTTGTTTATGTACATAGGTCCAACTGAGGTCCAACGTCTGTAGTCTCGTGATGCTAACTACTGTCAATAGCTAGTGAGATGACGTGTAGCCCAGCCCATCAATTAGCAGTATAAAAACCTGTGGGGCAATGCATTCGATATGTGTGGCTGCAGCTTTCGATTCTAACCTGTATTTGTTTCCTTTAACCTGTCTACAGGTTGTAAGAGTGTCACTATTGGGATGGCGGTCCCTTTTGCTGTATCCACGCTAGTTGCTGGCATCTGTATAGGTATGTTGATTGTAGTCATCCCAATTGAATTTGAGACGCACTCTTTCAGTTGCATTCATTGTCGCAACGTGGAGATTAGCTGTGGAGAGGAGAGGAAGACATGCAGTAGAGTCCGAGGTATTTACATTATCTCTCATGCTTGGCTGTTTCTTGTAATGCTGCTGTTTGTGCAGGATGAAGGACAGGGTGCCAGCCATGGGTCTCCTGCACTACCACCAGATCCTCTACCTGGCTCTGCTATTAGGCATCGTAGCAGGCATTCTCCTGCAGAGCTCCGACAACAAGAGACTGATGAATATGATGCTGAGACAACTCCTGAACAAATCCCTCTCATCCCTATGCCCCCATCAGCCCAGAGGGAGGAGAGTGGTGCTAGTGCTGTGTGTGAGTCACCGAGACGGTCTGCTGCTGGGAGCCCCAGTGTGGAGAGAAGCTCTCCTAGTCGTGAGGTGCCTGATATCAAAGTAGAACCCTCGCTCCTACTCGCTTCTATCGATTATCCGAGGTATATACACTATCATATTTGTAACTATGCTGTGTGGGTTGGTGGGTGATTTGTTAACGACAAGATTGTGTCTTCTCTCATTCTGCCCAGGGCTGCTGACAGCACAGAGCCACTCTCCCAGCAATAAGAGACACAAATATTACCTTTTCTCTATCACTTTTTATTTTGTACATCACGGCCACTTTTATCCATGTCACTACCACTTTTGTTTTTATCCTTGCCACAACCACTTCTCAACGTGCGAGCAACTGTACTGCGGGAAACGCGCATGCGTAAAAACCGCACGTTGATCGAATTAACGTGGGTGTGTGTAAGCGTACATAAGCACGTGCCGCGCACGAGGGGCGGGTATATGGAAAAAAAGAAGGGAGAGAGACACACGTACCGCGGACACCGTGTTCTCTACGCGGTTGGAGGGGCGGAGAAGCTGCTAATGGTCCTGTGGCTGACAACTGCTGTCTCTGCCGGCCAGTCTTCTTGTGCATTGAAGAGAGAGGGGGGAGGCAGATGTGAGATCACTGTAGGCGAATATTGCTCGCTCCAGCTTCCCCCCTCGTCATGTGCTGGAGGTCTCAATCTGAGTCTCAACGAGACCCTTCCTTCGTGTCAAAGATGGGCCAACATCACGGACAGGAGAGGCATTGTTCGCTCCACAAATGAGAGTTCCCGCCATCTCCTCCTGAAGGTCTCTGATCTAGCTGGCGGAGGAGTTATCATTGAGTGTCGAGTCGGGTCTGCGGTGATTGCAAGGGTGGAGATCCAGCTCTTACAGGAGACTGGTGAGTAGCCAGTGCTGTGGAAGTGATAGTACGGCGTATTGGGCTCACAGACAGGTTCAACTAGAGCCTCTAGTGTTTGATGTGTGTATATAGCAATGTGTTAGGTCTGCTGTTGATTGCCCCAGTCTTCTGTATACTGGTCCACAGGTGAGAGTGAGCCATCGCCAGAGCTGCCTACAACCCTACCAGGTAAGCAGGCAGGCAGTCATGGTATTGTGTAATGTGAAGAACGTTACCATGATGTGTGTGTGTGTCACAGGTTCCCAACCTCCTGAGAACTCACTGACAGAGGCTCCCACTGATCCTGATGGACCCAATGGTGTGTTCTTGGTTACTTGTGAGTGTATATGCTCTTTATTCCACACTATTGACACAGCTGGTGTTGTGACTGGTGTGGTGGTGGGTGTAGTTGGCCTATCTCTCTCAATAGCTGGTGCAGCTACTGCTGCAGGTATGATTGAAATGTCCAGTATACTTTTCTATGGTTGTATGATGAAATGATTTTCCCTAGTAGGGATCTGTTGGTATGTACTTAAAAGGCGAAGGAGAGAGGACGGAAGTCGTTCCCAGGTGCATAGGCGTGTGTCTGTGTCTGTTGTCCAGGTCCTCATTTGCTCTTCTGTTTGCAGGTTGCAAGTCCTCCTCCTCCAATTCTCCAGCAGCAGGAGAATACTACAGCATCAACTATTGTTCCCTTGCCTCCTTCCCGTCCAAACGTCCCTCCTGGGTCAAAAATTATATATCCCAATCTGACACCGACAACTGCCGAGGACACACGTTCTGAAAATGGCAAGAAGGAAGAGCCGGCGTGTTTCCGTTCCTCTGAACAAGCTATGAAGGAAAAGAACACCAGATATGGTAATGGTAGCCCCAGGCGGCCACAATTCCCTTCAAGATCCCAATCCAAGAGAGATGAAGCCTCTCTCCCACAGTCTGATGCGACCCTGGACAGTACTGACGGACCTTCTAGCCACAGGTATAGTACATAGACAGCTCTTGACATTGATATAATTATGCTATTCTCACAGTATATGGCATGTGAGTTAGTGTCTGCTGTTCCGTTCTCTACAGACCTGACTGTTTCTCTGGCACCACTGGATCAGCAGAGCTGGACATTGAACTCCGCGAAACACAGTATCACTATTCACTCCCCCAGAGTCCAGAGACCTAGGGTCACTCCAGCATACAACCCATAATCTATCACCATTTGTACATTATGTCATGGAACTCTTTTACTACATCAATCTTGCTATGTGCATCCGTCAGTGCCATGTGTGTGTTTGGCGGCAAACTGTATATAAATGTTCCTCGATAAATATAATGCTGCGGGTCACCCATGCGCATGCGTGCATTATAGAGTGGCGGCATATGAAGAGTTGTCTTGAAGGTGGCTAGCCAAGTTCGTCGAAGATCGATCCTCTTGAAGATGCAGAAACTGTTTAGACTACTAGCTGTGTTGGCTGGGCTCGGCTGTGCTGCAGCTCAGACCAGTAAGTCTGCAGTAACAAACAATTCTTAATGGTGGAGAACCGCAATAATTTATTGGGTTACTGAGCCTCTTCTGTCCCTTCTAGTCTCCGTGGAGCTGAGTTTCTCATCAGACGCGATCGTGGTGGGAGGCTTCACACATGGAACCTGCTCCTTTTCCACCACCGCTGCTGGACAGACGGTGAGCGCCGTCTCTTGGACCCACAACGGCGCTGAGCTGCGGAGCGGCAACGGAATCACTATCATGACTCCGGACTTCGGCGGACTAGCGGAAGGAGAGAGCAGGCTGGACATAGACAGCGCGGCTGAGAGCGACGCCGGCGACTACACCTGCATAGTAGAGTTCTCAAACCCTTCCCAATCCAGGCCGGCGGACGTCGTTCAGGTCACAGTCGCCAGTGAGTCAGTGACGGCGCTATAGCTAACTGCAAACTCGTAATAGCTATACGTTTCCTCGGAAACTTGGTTGCTAATTTTATAAGACTGGCTAGTGATACATCTGTGGGGATTGTATACTACAATTTTGCTAACTATTGCATTTTCTTCATGTGTTAGAAACTCTATCATCTCTGAATAATTATACTTGTGTGTCTGCAGGTGAGCTGGTGGTGGAGGCAGAGCCAGAACAAACTGCAGTGGAGGGAGAGCCAGCCGTGCTCCTATGCAACGTGTCCTCCAACCCTCCTCCCCGCATCAGGTGGGAGGATATCGAGGATGGGAGCGAGAGGATTCAGGAGCCGGGTGACGAGGATTTCGGAGTCTACAAAGTATCTGATGCAGTGACTACTAGCGATGCTGGTACCTACCGCTGTACAGGACAGTACAGCTTTGGTGTGGAGCGCCAGGAAATAGAGCTGGTTGTTTTGAGTAAGTTTCTGGTAATGAATGTTTTTGCATGGGGAATCAGCGCTAACTGGGGCTGTGCTGGGCATGTTGTCACTTGATTTCTGGTTTGTGTGAGCATGCCGTGAGCCTGCTAGCGGGCATTGAGGTCGCTCAGTGCCACAGAGATTGCTGTTGTCTACATCAACCGAAACAGTCAACATCAGCCAGGGACAGGCTGTAAACACTGCATGGTGGCTGAGTCCTGCACTATATAGGATCCTGAGACAGAGACTGTGTACAAAGATACTGTCACCTTGTCGCTGGGCATAGTGTGCTACATCTACCTGCCTCTCTCTATGGTGCGCAGCTTGCACTGTAATGCCTTAGACTGCAACACCACCTGCACCCAACTTTATCAGTCCCCAATCCTCAGGCCTGCACAATACACTGAGTCTGAGGGACAGGTGTAACTTGACCAGTCTTTGCTAGTCTAGGCTTCTGATGAGAACAGGTGTGCCTGTGGTTTCAGGCTTTATTGCTGCTTTGCTGCTGTAGCTAGTGCCCTCTGGGGTATTGCTATAATCCCCTGATATTCTGGGACCAGAATTCTGGGGTGTCTTTCTTGTACCCCAGTGAATAGAAATTCCTGTTGTTAGATGCTTTCTGTAATTTTCATTCTTGTTCGAGACAAGGTTGGTATGTGTCTGCCTCTGGGTGACAAACAAGGAACGTGTAAGCTGGAGATGTCTGTGGGAGTCTGGTGGGGACCAGCCCAGCCTACCATTCAGGAGTATTGAGGGTGGTTGGCAGATGAAGCTACGCAGTGTGAGTTGATACCACGGCCAATGACTCCTTAACTGGGTTGCCATTCAGACTGTGGTGGTGGGAGCCAATTCAGGTGTAGGGGTAGTGTGTCAGGCAGCCTTTGTGTCAGCTTGGTGCAGGTGCAGGAGGTTAGCTATGCATGGAGGAGCACATCTCAGTGTTCATGGGCTCCACACCACTTCAGTGTGTACACAGCAACCTTCTCATATTTCACTCATGGGATCTTGTTGTGGTTGGGCTGCCGTATACACTGGCTGTATACACAATCACTCATTAGGGTGGCTTGGCTGGGAACTCTCTTGTATTTTAATCCTCTGTCTGTCTCTCCCAACCTGCTCTCTCTCTCTCTCACTCTCAGCTGTCCCAGTCATAACCACAGAGGAGGAGGAGGTGACTGTTGTCTACACTAATCCCCTCCACCTCAGCTGCAATGCCACTGGAATCAAGGAACCCACATACAAGTGAATAATCCACAGCCACATTAGTACCCAGAAGTTGGCTTCAATACATGCACCAAATGCCTTTTACAAAACTTCAATAGTTCGCAATATAAGAGTATTATTTCATGGGTTGTTTGTACTGCTGCAGATGGTTGTTTGAAGGTGTGGAGGTGGTGGGTGATGGAGGGAGGGTGGAGGTCGACAGAGAAGAGGGAAGTCTGAAGATTGGAGATCCGACGTACGACGACACGGGAGACTACACCTGTGTGGCAGAGACTGGAGCCGGAACGGACAATATCACACACACTGTCGCCGTGGAAGGTAAGGATGGGGAGTTTCCTGCTTGATTAGCTACTAATTGGTCAATGTGTTTGAGAAACCCTGTGGTGTCGGGGTAATGATAATTCAATCTATTTCCGTCGCAGTTTGTGTACCTAACAATGTTAGGAATGAATCGTGGTGACCCGCTGTTCCACTTAGTTACCTGCCAGACTCTAGGAATGGCTGCATGGTTGCTGTGTGTGTGTGTTGTTTGAGGCCGTGTGTCTGGAGGATTGGTTTATGTCTGGGCTGCATTCTCATAGGAGGAATTCTGGTATATACAGTGGAACCTTCTGTAAATACAGACTCTCCAGATATGAGGCCACGATGATACGACACCTTTCCTTTTTTCGTTCAGTTTCTTGCATGTAACTAATGAAGACACCTCACTATTATGGAGAGTGTTGCTGTCCAGATTAGAGCAGTTCCACTGTACATTGTGTGTGGTGTTAGGGAAGAAGATAGAGGAGGGAGAGGGAGAGGGAGAGCGGGCCGATTTGGTTATGTTTGTTAATATGATCTATCATCAGTGGTATAGAGTGACCTGGCCAGTCTCTGTTGAGTGGGTTCTCTAACTCACTTTACCGTTCTCACCTTCACAGCCTCTCGCCTTCTCTCTTCTCTGTCTCGCCCTCCTCCTCCTCCTAGTCTCTGTGCCCTGCCACCTCTTGTATACCAGACACCGGACACACACACACTCACACACACCTTACATCATTTTCTGGTCGAGTGGCCTTTTAATAGTGACCAAATCGTCCAATCAATTAATTTGTAATGGAACATGTGGACTACTGCTATTGTGTGTAAGACTCATCGTGCATAAGATTAATGTTAATTCCAGTGATTAATATTGGCAGGAATTGATTGGATGGTTAGTGGGGGGTAATGAGCAGCAATTGAGTGGTAATGTACCTCAGTTGGTCTCTGGAGGGTGGTTTAGTTGGAGTTTTGGGTATTGTGTGTTGGGAATGAGGAGGAGTGCTGGCCACTGTTTACACTGAGGTCTGGTCCTACCTTCCTTTCTTCTTGTAGCCCCCTGCCTGTGCACACAGACTAGATGGCAAATCATCAGAGTATGCAAATAGACTCTCCTTTTTCATCACTATAAGTTGGCAAGCCTACTGTTTGTGTATATACATTGGAGTAGTGCTGGCATATAGAGTGAGAGGGTACTGCATGTCGTGGTGTTGGTTTCTGGCACTAGAGCCACATGCTACTCCACTGGCGGTTCAGGTATGGCATTGGCTGCTGTGTGATGTATGGAGGTAAGAGGTGGCTGTTTTGGTGACTGCTGAATGGACGGAATGTGATGCTTAATAGGCAGACTGTGTAGGGCAGGGAGCAGCACAAATGATGGAATCATTGTGGTATGGTTGACTTTGAATTGGAGGTCAGCTACTACCTTAGCCACAGAGTTATGCATCCCTTTAGATAAGTCTTCAGTCAGTGTTTGTCCACAATCTCTTGGCATGCCACCTCTAGCTGCACTGTCCTTCCGGTCCATTGGGTGTGGTGCTGTGCATCATTGCCACTCTGTATATTCCAGGTACTCTAATACTGCAGGGAGAAACATTTCTCAAGAGTAGCATTCACAGATTGCTTGGCTATCTAAGGCAGTGGTACAGTAGTGGAGGGCTCTCAAATGTATGTACATGGATGAGTTGAGTTTCCTACGGCAGATGCCAACCTGTAATGGTGAACTTGGTAGTAGTCAAACACACCTGTTTGATAGAGAGGTTTTGTACTCTACACATCATTGAGAGTTCACTGTGTGTGTGTGTGTGTCTGCAGGGCTGCCAGAGATCCAGCTGCCACCGGGAGACGACGTGGAGGTGGCAGTGGCTGACAACTCCACCGTTGAGATCAAGTGTCCATTCCGCTCACTCCCCGCCCCCTCCGTAACCTGGTTCAAAGTTCAGTCGGACGGGAAGAACGAGGAGATCAACTCCCTGGCAGGAGGATTCACGTATGACACTGGACCATGGCTGGCTCTGACTGTTTAACTCCCTCTCTCCCACCCTATCTCTCTAGGATATTCACAGAGAACGGGTCACTGTTGATTTGGAACGTCAGTCGGAGTCAGGCCTCTCACTACGAGTGTATCCTGACCAACTCACACGGCTCTGACAACAGAACCTTCTTCCTCAGAGTCATCGGTAACACACCTCTCTTCCTTCTTCTCTTGTGTGCTCACTCTGTAATTGAGTGAAGTCTGAATATCCTTCTCTCACTTTCTCTCTCTCGCTCTCTTCCTATTCGTTAACTCCTCTCTGCCTCTTTCTGTGATTCTCCCATTTACCGCACCTCACCTGCCTCAGAGCTGCCCTACCCACCGGAGGAGTTCAGTGTGATTGAGAGAGGGGATCAGTCGGTGAGACTCATGTGGACCTCAGCTCCCTCAGACACCGTCAAACCAGTGGAGGAATACCTTCTGGAGTTGACCTATCAGGAGAGAGAAAACATCACTTCCACCAGGGTAATGCCACGGGGACAACCCTCTCATTATAAATGGTAGAAGCTGTATACGTTAAAAAAATAAAGTCTGCCGCCTGAACTAATTAATCATGAAAGTTTTCTCTGCAAAATATTTTAATGGCTACTTGGTGAATGTTCACTGGTCTCCCTCTTCTGTCTAGGGGTTAGGTTATGCTTTTTTTCTCCCAGAGTATTCCACGGCAGCAGACCATGTACCTGGCAGACGACCTGGTGCCTGGAGTAACATACACCCTCGTTCTGAGGTCCTCCAATTTGGCCGGAGTATCTACCCCAACCCCCTCCCACACTCACACCACAGCCAGCTCTGGTAAATGTACTGCCACTTGCTCCATCTTTACTTCATCCACTCTGTCACTGCTATCCTTATCTTCCTCTCTCACACTTGCTGGTTTTAACTCCTTCTCTCTTCTTACTCTCACACCCTTCCTCCCCTCTCCTCACTACCATCTTCTCATTGGTTTCACATTCCCACAGTTCCACGACTGGAATTCTTTGAAGCGGAGTCACTGGGGGACGGTCGCTCAGTCTTACTCCAGTGGAGGCTCCTCTACTCCGGAGGACACCCTGTGAACGATTTCTACATCGAGGTAAGTGGAGTAAATCTACCCCGGAGTGAGGTGGGGTAGAGACACGTGTGTGCAGGTGAGGGAGAAAGATGAAACCATAGAAACTCTGAGACCAGACGTCTACGAAGACTCCCTACTCCTGGATGACCTTCGACCTTCCACCAATTACTCGTTCCTGGCGGTGGTGGGGAATTCCCTTGGTATGGCCACACCCCTCGAGACCAATGCCTCCACTCCCATTGGTACGGAAGCTAACTATAGTCTAGAGGGTGTTGGATAGAGAGTATATAGTGTAAACCTGCATTTTCCACATGAAGAACCTATTCTTCATGTGGAAAATGCAAGAAAATGCATGTTTGGGTTTTGTGAAATGCATTAGTCTACGGTGTTCTCTGTTACTTAACCTTTCTCCTGGCAGTTTCAATGAGCGTCTTTCACACCAGACAAAGCTATAGTGTATATACGATGATGTAATGATGACCTTGACCTTTTGTGGAGTTGCGTAACCGGGACCCACTGTATCTGTTTCAAGACTGTGTCATAGTGCTCTCTCCCTCTTCTCTCTCTGTCTCTAGCTGCTCCTGGTAAACCGACCACCCCTCAGCTGGAGGACCGCTCTCCACAGACCCTCACTCTCTCGTTCTCCGTCAAACACGGCTCCTACCCCATCCTCTACTACCTCCTCCTAATTAGCGACCCCTCTGACCCCGCGGCCAACACCTCGGCTCCAGATTTCACCAACACCACAGAGGAGAGGTTGGCGAACGTGACGGCGAGGTCAGTGGCGGAACAGAAGGAGTGGAAGGAGGGAGGGGAGGTCGTGGGCTACCATGTGAGCATTAGGGTAGGAGGACTGCGACAGAGAGAGAGCTACGTCTTCTCAGTGGCCGCTGCTAGTGTCGTTGGTGTCGGGGAGTTCAGTGACCCCAGCAGAACACTCACTCTAGAGGATGGAGGTAGGGATGTTCTTCTTCGTTCTATTTCATTTGATGGTGGGAACCTTTTTCAATTGTGGTTTGCATGACACAAATCACATGCATTGAGACACTAGATTTGATAGCCAAGTGCTCTCATTCGCATTAGGTATTGTCATTCTGTATGTGTATGTATATGTTTTCGTTAGTCTGAAGTGTGTGCTCTTTACTTCTTTCTCTCTTTCCAGAGCTGTTGCTGTACCTGATAGTGGGCGGAGTTGTGGGCGGGGTTTTGCTAGTGTTGGTTCTCCTGGTGGTGTTCTGTTTCCTCACTCAGTACGTCAGGAGACAGCACCGCGGAGGGAAAATCAGTGAGTCGATCACCTCTGACCTTGCAACAAGAACATTGTCTGATGTGTGTGTGTGTGTGTTGTGTTGATGCAGCCATCACTAGGAGAGGATCTGATTCAACTGGAGTCACTACTGACTACAACCTCAAGTCAGTTTTCCTTCCATAAATACCAGTGTTTCTAACACACTCCCTCTCTCACACTCTACCATCAGATTTGAGTCATTTAATGGAGGGGCTCCCCCTAGTCAAAGAACGACCTCTCCGAACCCGAGTCAGCGAGTGGACTCAACCACGCCCCCTCCCCGGATCACCTCCCCTCGTCTCACCTCTCCCCTCCTCCACTCCCAGCACTACTACAACAGTCTGAGGAAGTACCAGCTGGACACGCTGCCTGTGGCGAGACCCAACGAGGAGGGGTCAAAGGGCAGAGTTGTGGAGGTCCAGATCCATTCCAACCTCCGCAGTAACGGAGTCCCCACTGGCAGGAGGAATGTGAGTCCCCAACAACCTGTATTCTCGTTGCTGATTCCTTAACTGTATTTCGCGCTTAGCGCTTCTGGATTCAAGAAATATCTGAAAGCCTTCATACTGTTGTTTGTTGTTGAACAAGTGTAAAACTGCTAAGCTGTGAACATTTTCTCATCCGGTGCTCCCTGTATTCCTCTCTCCTCTCTCTCCAGGATGTGGATGGAGGTAACTACAATCGTCCGACGTCCCACCCTCCCTCTCTCCCCCTCTCCCCTGGATCCCAGCCTCCCCCATTCCTCCCTCCTCCCTCCCTCACAACCTCCTCAACCCTCCCCACTCACCCCCAGCACCCCTCCTACAACCATCCCACCTCACACACCCTCTACAGCGTCCCTCGCAAGGGGGGAAACCCCTCTCATCCCATGCAGGTATTGCCACTTACTAAACCTCGTGTGGATGTGTTTAGAAAGCTCTCTTTGCAAACAATTAGTGTTTATGTTACAATTTCTCTAAAGAACCCGTGTTTCTGTTAGTCTATGAACAACAATGCATATCTTCTTCTCTTGTTACTGTGTAGATGAGCATGTCAGCTCTGCCAACTGCTGACGAGGGGCGGAGTCAGGTGGTGGGGTCAAGGGTCAGTACCCTCCCCCGAGGAGCCACCACCACTAACAGTGATGAGTACACAGTAATGGAGGTGGGTGTGATTGTGTGAGTGTGGGGAGTGTGTGTACGGTGTGAGGTTGGTGCTCTATTATGTCAGAGGGTGGAGGATGGTGGGCGTGGCTCACTGGTGGAAACTGGGCGGAGGTTCCACACCATGGACCACACCTCTACTCTTGCTATTGCCGAGGTAGGCCGAGAGATTATGACATAGTTTTGTTAATACTCTCTCTCTCTCTCTCTCTCTCATTGCAGACAAGCAATTTTGATACAGATGGGAGTCTTCAGTCAAAGCATGCCGGCTACCAGACTGATGTTTGATGTCATAATAACTGTTTACGAGACAGACACCCATCATGATTTTCATTAATTCTCAAATTCTCATTTCTGTGATTTGATTCATGTGATTGCTCAGCTTTTATGAGGAGACACGAAGGGAGCAGGTGACAGATGCCAGTGTTGCTATGATTTTGATTAGGGCCGTGTTCTAAGTTGAGCAGATAAGCCTTTAGGAGCAGAAATGGTTACATTTTCTTGAACAATCCCATCATGTTCACTAGTGCAAGCATGTGCAGTGAGGGTTACGGACTTAGTCCACATTTAATCCATCAGTGCATGCGGAGGCCCATCGCGTGCGTGTTGAGAACATGTGATCTGCAAAGTAATTCGCATAACAGTTCCTTTTCGTGTTGGCAACAAACTCACATACTTTCTTGCCTGAAGTGATTTTTTTAACAACTTTATGTGGGCAGATGGATACTAGCCCACAACGATTTTGAGCACATAATATATATCCTGTGCACCTAGCCTGCTTAGACAATGGAAACGAGGTTAACCTTGGTGTAATGACCCGAAGCTTCATACGAGTAACACTCCATTATGACCCATGGTATGTTTCTATATTATACATAAACCTCGCATACACTATTCTTAGTTGGACCCAAAATGAGTGTGAGTCAGCCTTTCTCCAGAACATTAATAAGGTTTTGGCAGAGGTCACTATCATCAGACGACCCCAAGCAAAATTCATCTGCTGTTATGGAAACCATTTGCAATTTCATTGTGTGAAGGTATGCAGTTTTTAAATGTGCACATTCATTTGGAAATCACACCTCAAGACAGTAGCAAAATTAGACAAAGTCGAGTCAATCACAATGGAAACTTGATTTCTACACATCTTCATGCTGTGAACTGCAAACGATATGGACTTAGTGTGGCATGTGTATAACTAACATGGACAAGCACAATGCATATATATGCTGGGCTTACCCCATGCATGCTAGCTTGCAGGTCAAGTGGACATTTGATAGCATTGAATATGTGTACAGAGCAGTAATTTTAGTTCTAAGTTCATCATCACTGATAGCTAACTAAAATCACGCACTGCTCTGAAAGGTTTGAACTTGTGGAGTGGGATAAGCGGAAACCAGTAGTAGCTATTCATTTTGTGAAAATATGGTGACAGGCATGATCATGTTACAAGACCTTCATGCATGACACCTGTGCAGCTGCATTCAATTAAAAATGCGAACAGCGTTCCTCTAATATGCGGGGGAGGAGGATATATGTGCGGGCCTCGTCGTAACGACCGTGTGCGTGTCTTCTCCGTGTGCGCCAGATCAGATCTGATACTCTGTTTCATTACAGACAAGCAATTTTGAGAGTCTTCAGTTGAAGCATGCCAGCTACCAGACTGATGTTTGATGTCATAATAACTGTTGACAGAAACCCACATCATTATTTCTCAAATTTAATTTCTGTGATTTGATTCATTCAGTTGCTCCGCTTTTATGAGGGGACAAAAATAGATGCCAGTGTTGCTGTGATTTAGATTTGGGCCATGTTCTAATTTGAGCAGATAAGAAACCATGCTCAGAACACGTGACCTGCATGGCCCACCACGATTTTGGTATATATTCTGTGCAGACTATTAACCAACACCTAGCCTGATTGACAAAATTAATGTGTACTTTAATGTGACCGGAAACTCCATACAAGTTATTCTGGCACAACTCCATACCATTTTTTGCAAACTACATTGAGTGTGTGGATCCAAAGCTGAGCCTTTCTCCAGCACATCAGATTTGACAGAGGTCACTATCATCAAATGACCTCAACCATGCGTTGTCAGGGAAACCATTAGCAATTTCATTGTGTGAAGGTATGCAGTTTATAGCCAAGTGCATATTAACCTCAAGACATTCTGATTTTTCGTATTCAACACCCAAAAATTACTTTTTCTAGTCAACTAGATATAAATCATGCACTGGATATAAATCCCGCACTGAATATATATCCAGTGCAGGATTTATATATCCGGTGTGGGATATGCTATATCCAGTCCGGGGTATGTATAATCCGGAAGGGATTTGTATAACCGGCGCAGATTTTACAAATGAAGCGTGGGATAACAAAAAACAGCTATTTGCAAATTTTGAGACAGACGGCGCCCATAATGTACACACAGCGCAGTTTGTCCTCTGATGCAGTTGGTTCGTGTGGGGCAGATGTTTGAGCAAATTCTATTCACATTGTTTATCAGAGAGTCAGTAGACTCTCTATATAGGGACGACACGGGTGAAATCTCACGTGATCCGCGTACAAAACCACTAAAATCTCGGTGAGAATCACTCCCTAGGCCTTCAAAACATACTAGCAATAGTCTACGGGCCCATATCTACCTATACATGTCCCCCAAGACCTCATACGCACCTTCAGTCGTCCACGCGAGAATTCGCTCATACGCGATTTCACGATTTTCGTGTCTTCATCATATTCTTCATCTTCTTCTTCTTCTTCTTCTTCTTCAGACCCGCTAGCTCCTTACCGGAAGCACTTGAAGCGTTGATTTTTTCACAGAACGTCTCCGAATTTGCCGGAGGTGTGCATGCATATCAAGCGATCGTTTCTTTCTTGCCGCAAGTCACTACGGTAGATCGTTGAGCTCTTCCTCGGTAGTCACTGAACAACGCCATTTGTTGCTAACTCAGCATCAGTGAGCCGCATGCGCCGAGGAGGGCGTTTCCAATGCGGCGCGCGCGCATTTTGTCTCGTAAACCTGGTCCACGAACGAGACTAAGCCAGGACTGGATGCCTTCAGAGAAAACTACTCTCATCCTTCGGTGCCTTCTGTAAGTCAGTGTGCACATTTGTAAGTGGCTAGCTTGCGTTTTGCTGTTGATTTGCACGAGGAGAAACTTGGCAATCTGCGCCGTGTTACGCGTGCCTTGCCAGGCGCCTTCATTCTTTGTCCCCCAGGTTATAGCTATCATTGTAGTCTGATTACTGAAGCCTGCCTATGAAACCACCCCACCATATGTGCCACAATCTAATTGCATCCTTGTTGGAGACACTACACATACACCCTGCTTCAGGTAGGAGCAGCCCATTAGCTTCTGCTTTCAACAGTTATCTCTACAACACCCATGAACATCAGAGTGACTGAAAAGGCAGTGTTGTCATAAGGCGTGAAAAATAGTGGAAACAAGTGGAAAAATCATTTCTTCAAAATGAAAGGGGGATATAGGGATGGCTTGAAGCACCAAAAAGGAAGAAACAAGGGGTCATTACACAGCAAAGATGCACAAAGCTACATGACACCATCCCTATATCTTTGTGTTATTGTTCACAACCAATCTCGCCCTGCTGACATTTTCCTCCCTAATTGGGAAAGAGCCGCGCTTGCCGTCTCCGTCATTTCCACTCTGCAACAGTTTACCTTGAAGTAAAGTTTAATATGAGACAAAGATATAGGGATAGTGTCATGTAGCTTTGTGCATCTTTGCTGTGTAATGACCCCTTGTTTCTTCCTTTTTGGTGCTTCAAGCCATCCCTATATCCCCCTTTCATTTTGAAGAAATGATTTTTCCACTTGTAGAAGAGCTTGTGGGATGAGTACAAACACCTTTGGAAAAGTTACTGTTGACTGTCACAAGGCGAAACTTTAAACAGGCAAACTTGTTTTGGGAACCAAATCTGTGTTGTTTTTCAGTCTCTCTTGTGCCGAGAAGGAAGTCATTGCTGCCTCTCAATGTACAAGAATGGCATGGTTGAAAGCAACAGAGAGTTGCATAAACTGTGGCTTACAGATCATCACATGCACTTATGTTATGTAATCATGACATGGTGTTTGTCACCTGTCTATGTACATTTATGAATAGTATTTTCTTTTCCCAAAATCACTATGTAGATAATAACACCCTGTTGTCTTGGCATGTCTTAATGTTGCTAAACTGCAGTCACTGTCATATAAAATTAAAATCCATGTTTAACTGACAGACGCAATAGAAGTACAAAGAGAGACCATATACCTATGGTTACTGCTAAGTGTCTCATCACTACATGCAACACACATTACATGGAAAGAAACACACTGTAGTGATACACGAGGCATAATAATTCATTTATAGGTAGTTCCATCTAACGCAGGCTCTGCATATAAACAAAAATGACAAGGACAACAGATCGATAAGCAGACCCTCAAACATGATGGGGCTATTAGTGAAATAGGCAGTCCACATACACCTTACTCTCTGATCACATAAACCTGGACTTACTATAGGCACTTCATGAACCATGGGGAGCTCATCCAGAAAACAAGACAACACATGGAACACACAGCCTATACTCAACTGTTGCCTCTGTGTTTGCTGTGCTAGTTGTAATGTGTTTTTTGTGCGCTGATGAAGACCTAGTCGAAAACGTTGGCAATTAATTTGGGTTGGATGAGTGTGAATGATGGACTACATATCATTAAAACAAACCACTGGATCATTAGATTACGTATTATTTTACCTGCTGGAGGGAGTGATGGCTTTTTGGTGGACATATAGGCAGGATTATCTTCAAGGTTTATTTTTGTCGCTGGATTGCAATGATTTGTACTCAATTCACATGACACCTCCTCATACACTGAGGGAAAAATGTGATCACCATAGAGTGAATGCTATTTTTAACATTACCATGGTATTCTTTGTCAAGCTTTTGACCTTAAAAAATAGAAATGAGAGTATTTAGAATGGTCTTCACTTTTTACTGCAATACCTTTTTTCTTATGTTGATGTCCTAAAGGGAGATACATAGTTAAAAACTATTATTGTTATGTGACATGATTAGTCTTACGGTAGATCCAAAGAGTCACGGCAGCAATGATTGATACTACCAGTACAACACTGCTTGTTGCTGCTGTTAAAACTTTGACTGTATGGGGAGAAATACCACAGAGTGATGTAGCTACAATTACCATTCATTTTTGAACAGCAGTAATTTTTACATGTTTTTAGTGAAGAATTTCCAGGAAGAGAAGCTGGAACAGCAGAAGTGCTTCCAGCTGTTACCGTTGGAGCTCCAACTATAGGGACACATTCGTTTATTTTATGCAATGGGTATCCAGGAGATGTTCTAGTATTATTGTGAACTTGTGATTGTAGCATACTTGATTTTATTAATGTTGATGATGATGGTATGCTCGAATTAGTGAGAGTCTGCCAAACAGATGCCTGAATGAGGTTGCCACCAGATGTGGCATTTGAGACTGTTTGTGTATTATCAGTGTTTCCTGTAGAGATGCATAAGAGAGTGGCACTATGTGTTAACAGAGGTGCTTGCTTTATTTTCCTAACTGTGCATATTTTTACTGTATTATATTGCCTAAATTGTTTTAGTTCTGCATCTTCGCTAAGGCTCCAAGCCACAAGCCCATTAATAAGTAACTATACATAGCTAGGTATCTGAACAGGTAGCCTTCTAACACTTTTTACAGACAATAAGATCCATAGTAAATTTGTCTAACATAATAAATTCGTGTTTAAGAGTGGAAAAATAGAACAAAATGCAGCCATGTTTATTCACAGGCACAAAGTAGCAACAAACCATGGCTTTGCAGTGGCACACCCTCCAAAGCAGCAGTAGCAGTATTGCTGCATACATCAGCAAGTGATCCGCTTATGGAAACCCTGATAAAACAGCGAATTTGGACTGTTTCTTCAATGCTAAATTCAATGGTGAATCCACTGGCGGAAAAGCCTGGTGGAAGATTATCAGGGAACTTTACATCGTTGATTTCCCACCGAGCATAGTTAGCTGGGAGATTTGTAGAGCAAACAAAATGTAGGTTATCTCCCTCAGTTGCTGTCATAGAGCCGGCAGGCTGGAGTGCAACATAAAAGTTGTCTATTTCCACACATTCAGAACCTATGAGGTATGGGAAACATGCCATTGCAAGCACACATGCAACTCAAGAGCATAATAAATTATTGCTCACATGCTTTTGGTATTCTTGCAAGCACTACTAGCATGCAGAGAATGACAACTAATGCTGTCATTATGCAAACATGCAAAACTGACTTCCACCGGCATATTTTTATATGCATACATGCGCATGCGCACGCAATCTGAGAGCAGGTTCAAGATGACGTCATGGCGAGCGAGCAAATTACCTGCAAGGGTAACCTACTTGGTACTTGCACCTTGGAAGATTGAACTTTGAGGCCCCGAGAAAGCCCACTGCTGAGGGACAGAACACAAGGGTAAAGCTTTCCTTTGCTCACTTTCCGCTCGTAGCCACGAAGGCACCGAAAGTGTAGCAGACGCAAAGATCTACCTTTCAGCTTGCAACTGTTAGCTTGGCGAACAATGCCATGTTCAAGAGCAAACACTAAGCCTAGCCTCGCCCATATTAACCCCGTCCTTGAGGACAAGGCTACGCCCATATTATCTACGACGGCGATCGGGTCTACTTGCGCAGACCCTGCGGCACAAGCGCTCGGCAGCCGGCGCCAGAATATCCTCGAGATGTGAGGGTGTCTGGGTCGAGCTATTCTCATGTGACGCTGAGTATGCATCTCTAATGGAATGCACTCCGTTATGCTATAACAAGGGGTTGCATAAGCACGGGTTCGAGACATGTGCATCGACTACACGTTATACGTCTAGCACATTGCTACAAGAGCATGACTCTCCACAATCTTTCACTTGCCTGGCACAAAATTAGGAGTGAAACATACATTTGTGCATGTTATTGTGCCAACTCGAACTTCAATGCAGCCTTGCCTCTCTCTCCTTTTGCTACCTAACTTTGAGTCAGTGGAGATGGGCCGCCTCAGATCAGCGATTCCCATTGTCCAAAAATAGCTATATAGCTAGTGGTGCTAATTAGGGTGGTCTTATATCCCCAGTGCACAATTCCATACTTAAAATTGAAGTCATGGTCATGTTAGCAGAATGTGCAGATAGCTAGTTGCCATGGAAATGTGTAGTATTTTCATTGATGGGGTCATGCGAAAGAATTTGGTTCCCTATGATCGTGTTACAGATCTAGCTAATAAGAACAGAAGAACTAGAAACACCTGCATGAATAACAAAAAGAATGGTCGGGCATGCATAGCTACTGGCTGCAGCGCACCTGCAGCTGCGGAATCTAGAGGGGGTGTATATAAAGGAAGTGAGACTGTGCGCAAAACATTTTGCTGTCAGTCAAGGCGAGTGTTTGGCAAAAGATGAATCTTCTTGTATCCGTTCTGTGTGTATTGGTGTTTGCAGGAACACCAATTGCATGTGAGAATAATAGTAGGGATGATCCATAAAGATTAGTAGCTTTAGGTCAAAAGTGTGACAATTATTACTTTGATGTTTTATAGGCTTTGAATGTGTTGAGGGCGAGTATAACACCAGACTTACACCTGAGAGTAAGATTGCAGATGAGGGAGAAACTGTCAAACTGACATGTAGCACAGATCTGCCAGCTACCTATTCTCGGTGGGAAATCGATGACCAGGTGTACGAAAGTAATCATCTTCCACCTGGGTTTACTGCAAATGGATTTGACATTGAATTTGTATTTGGCGGTAGAGTTGTGGATTTTCGTTGTTTTTTTAAGATATTCTCAGAGGGGTCAGATATGAACATCTGCAGCAGTCTTTCTAGGATAACTCCAAGAAATGCCAGAGGTAAGTTACTCTTTTAATGGTATATTATTAAATTTATTTAGTGTGTATATAGACGGTGACGAAACACCTTCATGCCTAACACCTAGAGTATCATTTCTGAATCGTGGGGACATTGCTAACATATACATGGGATTTCAGGAGGTTAAAAACCGAAGCATCTCTGTTAATTATAGAAAACGTTCGGACTTTAACTGTACAACTGAACGAATCACACCAGTCAATGAAACAGAGATTGACGTAACACTCAGTCCTTTGGCTAAATTCTATAATAATGATGTTATAGTTACTATAACTGATGATGAAGATGAAGATGATTGTGGTGGAACAAGCTTTGAAATACCTAATATGCAACCAACAGGTTAGACTCATTCTTAGTTCAAAAGAGCTGTGGCAATTGTTTGGGTTTCTTTGCAGGGTACAACTTCATTGAAGTAAACAATAATACGGATGACCTTTCCAATCAATACTGTGACATTGGTCGCATGTATAATAGGACTGTATCATTTTCTGTAATTGAACACAAGATGTGCATATACTCCAGAAATAGGAGAGTGACTGAATGTTTTGATTCCCTATGTAATGAGCAAGATACGATATGCGCAGATGAAAACAAGCTTCTAGTCCAGAACGAGACTGAGAATGAAACCGTAGTTTCTATTTTCTGCACCAATACACAAAATTGCACAGGCAACAACAGTGATTTCATGGTTTACAACAATGAAATAATATGTAAGAAAAACTATTGTCATAAAGTCCATACATTACATTTTTATCTCTTTTCAGTGATTCATGATGATGGACAAGAAAGTAGTAAGCTTGCTACCTAGTCATACCTGCTTTGTAATGTATCAATGTTGCTTGTATGAGTGTTAAAGAGGCTTGAACCCTTTTCCATCTGCAGGCTCTACTTTGAGCAATGGGGTCCCCTTGGCAACTAGTATGGGGAGTCATCCCCTCTTTTATTTTCTGTATGCCACACTAGCACAAGCAAACACAACTGGTTGCATTATTTTAACACACAGCACATATCACAGCCCAATACCTGAGTGTGGTGTTTTGACGTTTTTGTGTTCATGCAAGTCTTACTGTATTCTTCAGCCCCGCCTCAGCCAAGGGAACTCTTCCTCTCGATGGATTGCAATGTTCCAGTGAGTGACGGCAGACCTGGTGTCTTTAGTTGGATGGTTAGTTCTGATATGAAATTATCCCCCCCCCCCCGTGTAGTTAAGGCAAGAGAAACTGTTGTGTACTGATGTAGCTATGTGTATACAGGATGGTGAAAGAGATGATGGAGTGGAGTATCCAGGAGAACAGAAGGCAGTTGTGAAGCTAAGTCCTCCAGGAGACACTGTCTGCTCTGATGTGGCAGACACAAGATGCACTTTCAACATCACCACAGAAGACTACTACACTGTTTCTCTCACACTCACCAATGATGCGGGATCATCTGAGCCTGTCAGCCTCTCCTTTAACAGTGAGTAAAACATAGTGTGTAAAAGTGTTACTAATGTGATTTGTTGCCATTCCTTTAGCCATGGTATTCCAGCTGATAGAGGACAATCTTGGAGGAAATGAACCCAATATCAGGGTGACAGTAAATGAATACTGCTCAAATACCAATGTGACTGTGTCATTTGGTGAGAGAGAGAATGGCAGCAACAATAACTGCGACCATCAGGATTTTCAGAGTGACATCTTAGCACCGGATGCTGCAATGACATTCTACGTGAACAAGAGTATAGTGATGCTCAGTGATGGTTATGAGTACTGCAGCTTTCAGGAACCTTCTTGTGAGTTTATTTATTGTCTCTGTCAACCTACTGTATATTTTGTGTGCCAGTATAGCTGTGCCATTCCCCAGCTTGCGTACCCATGCATAGATCTAGCACAGTAGCACCAGCATAAATAATGTCCCTTGTGTTTCTAAACAGTAGCACTGCTATACTATTTCATAATTTCACATTGTCAACATAGCTTAGATACAGTTATTAAAAGTTTTTTGTTACAGCCTCCACATCTCCTGAGCCTACCTCTGAGACTGAAGAAGTGCTTCCTGATGGTTCTACAGCTGGTATAATATTATTGTGATTGTAGTAAAAGCAGGTTGTTCCTGTTGTCATAGTTGTTGGCTTCATTGTTTACTGGTTTATTGCTCATCAGAAAAAGGGAGAAGTAAAGCTGCCTGAGTAGTTTTAATTTGAGGCCAAGGAACGTCCTTTATAACTTTGCACTTGCTCTTATTTGGGTATTATTGTATATAATTATACAGTGTGTATTTAGGTATAATCAACCCTTCAATATTCGTGTGCAGTGAGGGGGTTATATAGTGTAATTTATTGTTGCTTTTAATAATTTGCCACATCTACGATTATTGTATATACATCTGTGGTTGTATTCAGACAACGTTAAAGGAAGAGCAGTCTCTGATCTTCTCTGAGACAGCCAACTATTGAAGCTCCATAATCAACAGTGGCGAGGGTTATGCACTTTCAAGTGCTTTTCATCCCCACTGGTGCTTCATGTGTCCTCCCACTCCCTCCCACTCCCTCCCTGTGCCCCAGGTGGAACTGAGGTCAATACGACCATCATCATCATCGTCGTGGTCGTGGTCGTCGTGGCACTCATAATCTTCATCGTCGCCATGGTGATCGCCGTCTACTGCCTCTGTTTCCGGGACGGTGGGAAGGTGGGGAATTCCCCTCACAAGAGGACCTTTTCGTTCAGGTCTAAGCACTGGACTGATTCCAGCGGGCCACACTCCATGCCACGGGAACAACAGGCTAGGAAAGATGTAAGAGATCTCTCTGTGTGCAACATAGGGTAATATTGAGAGCTTTGGTTGGGATAGCAACTGGAAATACGTAGGTACCCTGTGCAAATTTCGTGACAACAAACATGAAAACTAGTTACAACCAAAAAATTTAAGCTACTATCAGTTTTCTGTAGCTAGAGCTATCTTGTGTAAGAACGTACTGCACAGTTTTTTCTTTGCACATACATACTAGGGGAACCCCTGAAATGAAGACACCTCTACACGTACCGTAATATATTTTATGTGATCACAATAATTGGAAAATAATTGTGAACTGCTCGCATTTCGCAATAATGGACCGGTCACTGGAGAAGATCACTAAAGACACTTTATTCTGTCCCATTTTTGTCTTGAATAGAAGAGTTGCACCCACTGCAGTACTACAGCTCACATACACCAATAGTGTTGCACAAAGTTACATCTCTCTCTAGCCCTAGCCCTCTCTCTCTCTCTCTCTCTCTCTCTCTCTCTCTCTCTCTCTCTCTCTCTCCTCTCTCTCTCTCTCTCTCTCTCTCTCCCTCCCTCTCTCTCCAGAACACTCATGCCGGTGCAGAGCCCACAACCAGTTTCCAACTACAAGGTGACAACACTGTCTTATGATGATGACATCGTCAGGGACCATGTGATCACCTCTTTATAGTCACGTGACTTACCACTTACCTACCTAAAGTATACCCATACAGTAGATTAATATGGCAGTCGGGATGTGTACATAATAGTGTGCAATGGTACGATTTTTATTGTGCTCTAAAATCAGTATTGCTATTATACATTGCCCTTTCTTCTTTCAACCTTTTTATACTATACCCCTGTATATATTTTTTTTAAATTTTCTGTTCATGTACAAATTATTGTGTGACTGCTGATATTTTTAGAAAAAAAGTTATTTCACTGAAAATAAATGAACATTGCACTACTGCGGTGTGAATATCTGATTCTTGTGAAGTCCAAAAGACACTCTTTTCTTTGGCCGAGTAGACGGCGTTACATTGCCATGGTCACCACCTCCGGCCATACTTTGGCCGGGTGTTGTTGCTATGTCACCGTGGTGACCATCTTAGGCCACACCTACATCTTTGGGCATTGTTGCTGTTGCCATGGTCACCATCTCTGCCCACACCCCCATCCATCTCTCCCATCCCCTCATCCTCCTCCCTCTCTCCCTCCACTTTTCCCCAACCCCCGTCATAAGTTTCATCCCTCCCTCCCCTCTCCTCCACTCAGTCAAGAACTTTATCCATGCCCAGTCCCCTCCATATACCGTAGTTCACCACCACTCTCTTTCCCCATGCCCAACCCCTAGCCTTCTTCCTCCTCAACCGCCTCCTTATCAGTCGACGTCATGTGCGTCGTGGTGTACAGCTGACTGCGGTTGGCTATGGCTGAAAGTACGACGTTGGGGGTCTCTCTCTCTCTTTATGCCGAAAGTCTCGCAAGAACTCAGAAGACCTTATTAGGAGAAGCTATGATTAATCTTCTGTCTAGATCCATTTCTGCTGCCCGCTGACACTAGCGTTGCTGCTCTGTCGAATCTTCCTCCTGTTGAAGCAAGCGCAATATCGTGGCGTACTTGATTTTGCAGACTAGCTTCCTTACAATGAAACAATTCAAGGCTCGTAAATCCCTTGAAGCTTACAACCAGCTTGTGAACGGTTGGGTCAGGGATGTGCAGGGTTGGAGTATAGACGGAAAGATTGTTGTTACGGGAAAGGTACAGCTGCATATATAGCTCTACCTGTGTAAGTGTGCCAGCTTGGTCTGTTTTATAGGTGCAGCATAGTGTTGCAGTGCTTCTCCGACTGTTAGACCATCTGCTGGCAGAGTGGTAAAGATTGCTGTGTCCACTGTACTTGCATGGCCGGCCTTGGTGAAGCATGTACACATATTGGGGCAGTCCTTTTCTATCTTGAGGCCCGGAGTGAGGTGGGGGTAGAGACATGTGTGTGCAGGTGAGGGAGGAAGATGAAACCATACAAACTCTGAGACCAGACGTCTACGAAGACTCCCTATTCCTGGATGACCTTCGACCTTCCACCAACTACTCATTCCTGGCGGTGGTGGGGAATTCCCTCGGTATGACCACACCCCTCGAGACCAATGCCTCCACTCCCGTGTGTGTTGTGCAGCACTAGGAGAGGATCTGATTCAATTGGAGTTATATACAACTGACTACAACCTCAAGTCAGTTTTCCCTCCATAACTAGCAGTACTTCTAACACACTCCCTCTCTCACACTCTATCATCAGATTTGAGTCATTTAACGGAGGGGCTCCCCCTAGTCAAAGAACGTCCTCTCCAAACCCGAGTCAGCAAGTGGACTCGACCACGCCCCCTCCCCGGATCACCTCCCCCCGTCTCACCTCTCCCCTCCTCCACTCCCAGCACTACTACAACAGTCTGAGGAAGTACCAGCTGGACACACTGCCTGTGGCGAGACCCAATGAGGAGGGGTCAAAGGACAGAGTTGTGGAGGTCCAGATCCACTCCAACCTCCACAGTAACGGAGTCACCACTGGCAGGAGGAATGTGAGTCCCCAACATCCTGTATTCTCGTTGCTGATTCCTTAACGGTATTTCGCGCTTAGCGTGAAAAATTGGTGCATGACTTTTTCAGAATATCTGTGACATGGTAATTTTCAAACTAAAAGCCTCCATACTGTTGTTGAACAATTGGAAAACTGCTAAGCTGTGAAAATGTTCTCATCTGGTGTTGCCAGTATTCCCATCGCCTCTCTCTCCAGGATGTGGATGGAGGTCACTACAATCGTCCGACGTCCCACCCTCCCTCTCTCCCCCTCTCCCCTGGCTCCCAGCCTCCCCCATTCCTCCCTCCTCCCTCCCTCACCACCTCCTCCACCCTCCCCACTAACCCCCAGCACCCCTCCTACAACCATCCCACCTCACACACCCTCTACAGCGTCCCTCGCAAGGGGGGAAACCCCTCTCATCCCATGCAGGTATTGCCACATACTAAACCTTGTGTGGATGAGTATAGAAAGTTTTCTTTGCAAACGTTTAGTGTTTATGTTACAATTCTCTAAAGGACCCGTGTTTCTGTTAGGCTATGAACAACAATGCATTCAGTAATGTTTGAGAAAATGGTTATCTTCTTCTCTTGCTACTGTGTAGATGAGCATGTCAGCTCTGCCAACTGGTGACGAGGGGCGGAGTCAGGTGGTGGGGTCAAGGGTCAGTACCCTCCCCCGAGGAGCCACCACTAACGGTGATGACTACACAGTCATGGAGGTGTGTGTGATAGTGGGGAGTGTGTTTGCATGATGTAAGGTTGGTGCTCCATTCTTTCAGAGGGTGGAGGATAGTGGGCGTAGCTCACTGGTGGAAACTGGACGGAGGTTCCACTCCATGGACCACACCTCTACTTCTGCTATTGCCGAGGTGGGCCGAGAGAATAATTATGACATGGTCTTGTTGTAAATGTTATCGCTCTTTTCATTGCAGACAAACAATTTTGATATAGATCAGTCGAAGCGTGCCAGCTACAAGACTGATGTCTGATGTCACAAAACGGTTTACAAGTCGACATAGACCCACATCATGATTTTCATTATTTCTCAAATTCCTATCATTCTGTGATTTAGTAATGTTCAGCTATGCAAAAATCTTGTTTTGAGGGTCTTGTAAGAGGGGGTACAACTGGGTTAAATCATTTGCGTGCGGTTGGGCCCGCCATTCAATGAGACAGCATCATTGATCAAGTAGCATGAACTTCAGCAAGCCTTGCTCCGGCCTGGGAACGAGATTAGCCATTAGTAGTAGCTAGGCCTTCTACCCCTGCCACAGCCAAGGTGGGTTGAGAGTATAACTTACTTGACAATCTCTTCTTGCAGACAAACTGGGGGTGGGAGAACCCATCCCAGCTATCAGACTGTTATAGGCGAGCGGGAGCGAGCCAACCTAGTCGTCGCAACGGGCCGATTTCCATCATTTATTTCTATCCGGCGATGCGACACATACCGTAATGTTCTACGTGACTCTAAATAACCGCTGGCTCCGTTCAAAGATTATAATTACCACGTGTGTTCCAAAACCGTGTGTAGCGAAGTTACTACTAGTGTAGTTGCAACTGTCATGGATCCTTCAGTCCGTAGCGAGAGAGACAGCCAGCGTCGTGCTTCAGAAACCGTCGACGCCCTGGACCGCCGATTAGCTAGGCGTAGGGCGAGAGAGATAGACGGAGTCGCGCTTCAGAAACCGCCCACGCTCGGGACCGCCGACTGGCTGGGCAACGTGCTCGCCGGCGACAGCGTCTTGCTTCTGAGACGGCCGAGGAGAGAGAGACGCGCCTGTCGCAACGTACGCCACAATATCGCTTGCTTCAACAGGAGGCAGATTCGACAGATCAACAACGCTATTCTGTTCAGCTTCTTCTAACTTCTGATAATATGACCATTACCTGCAAAATATACACACAAACCACATGAAAACCATTATACATTTCTTTGCACAAACATGTTAACCAATTGCCTGATCTGCAGTTGGGTCGCTCCCACTCGCCAAAAATGCTTAGCATTCAACTAGTAATAACTGTTTACTCTAGAGCTGGGAGAGCCCACGCCAGCTATCAGACTGTTATAATAACTTTTTACAGGTGGACAGAGACCCACATCATGATTTTCATTTTTATCAAATTCTTATCATTCCTGAGTTCAGCTTGCACCAGTATGAGTCACAACCAATTGTCCCTAAAATCAAATATCCCCTAAAGTGTCACGTGTGTGGAATAGTAGTAATGGCGAAATAATTGGGCAGGTCTTGGCAGGTTATGTGTGGGCACCACGCGTCAAAGTACGTCATGAGGGAATTGTGCATGCTCCACACAAATACTTGACCATGCATTCCTTGCACACGGTAAACGTGCAAGGTAACTGACGTGTCATTGACCGTTTTGTGTGTGCAAAGATGACCACTTCTATCGCCGTGTGTGTGTTAATCTTTGTGGGAACACCTGGAATATGTGAGACTTGAAGTCGTCTGATTCGCTTACAACTTGCGTATTTTAGCCACCGTCAAAGTTTTTACTCATCTCTTGCAGGCTCTCAATGTGTTGGTGATTATTACTACGCCAAACTTCAGCCTAATATTTCGGATGACTCGGAAGGATACACATTCAATTTTGCGTGTTCTACAAATCTCCAAACCACGTATCCTCGGTGGGAAATCAATAACCAAGACTATGATGTAACTGATCTTCCCCGCGACTTTATTGTCAGTGGACCGAATGTTGAATTCAAAGGTGCTAGAAGTTTGAAAGTTCGCTGTTATATAAACACATTTATAAATGGATCAGTTGATCGTGTCTACAGCAATAATGCTACTATTATGCGGGCAGATATTCAAGGTTAGTTCGCCGGAGTTTTCACCGTAGCGAGCCTAAGTTTTTCAAAGTGTAAAGCACAGTTGCTAGCTAAAGAACGTGTGTTTACGCGCTTCTCTCTCACTAGCTATAGTAGCTACCTCACAGCTATAGTGAAACGTCGTGGGGCGTAGAAAGTCTCACGGCCTCACTCACGCCCAAGAGAGAACACAAAACCGTTATAGCTATATATACACTTTTATTCTGGCTCTCTCGACTATCTCCTATTTAGGTTACACACTTCCTGAGAGACCCAAAGAAAATGTAACATTCTCAAACCATAGAGAGGTGTCAAACATGCACGTAGACGTTCAACATTACGGTGGTGATTGTGACATATCCATTGCATTTTCAAGATGCAACAATTCTGATATTACAGAAGAGCAATATGTAACCCTGTCTGGAGAATCTAATCATATAACAATTGAGATTGACACTGTAGAGATGTTCTATGAACATGACATCATAGTTACAATGAATTACAGTTGTAGTGATAACCCAAAAATATTCTATATTCCTAATATGAATCAAACAGGTTAGCCTATTATTATTACTTAAATAACTTGTGACAACTATTGTCGTTCTTCTACAGGGTACACGTTTAATTTTACAGGGACTATAATTGATGACCTCTCAAATGATTACTGTGACTTTGGTAGTCCACACATTGACTACAAAATATGTATACTCTCCCCGCAAGGTTCTAATGAGTGCTTTGAAACTCCATGTGGGAATGGTAAAATATATACATCACTGTGCAGTGAAAACTATCAGAATGGCACAGTAGTAAGTCTTGAAGTCAGTGAAGCTGAGAATGGAACAATAATCTCCATATTCTGCCAGAGCAATGATTGCAGGGGTAAACCCAGCAATGTGATGGTATTCAACACTGAAGTGTGTAAGTGCATAAACGGAAAATTTGTTGCAAAAAACTACTTTCTCTCCATTCAGTGATGAGTGAAAATTGTGATGAGAATTCTGAATGTGTCAAGGGGCAATGTGTATGCAAGGACAATACTGAAAATGGAACATCAAAAGGTGAGCAAGAACTTCCTAGTAACATAACTCTTTCTTGAAATTTATAATTATCTTTCAGATTCAACAGTAGCTGAAATAGCAGGAGGAGTGGTTGGAGGTGTGGTGGGTACACTGTTACTTCTGGCCATCATCGTCATTATCATCATCATAATATACCTATCCCTTCGGAAAAAAATAACGAAGTACAGACTTTAAGTAACAACTTTGTTCCTATTTATCATTCTGTAAACTATTCCCTCTCGAATGCGTGTTCGCGCGGCGCGCTCCCACACAGCGCGCAAGCGGGTGTCCGGCGCGTGGGATCTCAGTTATTCAGTCACAGTTTGTGGAACGCTAAATGCGACAAAATAGAGCGCTCGTTGCGATTCCCGTTTTTCGATTATCGATTCCTGTTTTTCCATTATCAATTCCTGTTTCGATTATCGATTCCTTGTTTCTCGAGGATACGTACCGTTCCGATTTTTCGGTTCACGGTTTGTGATGTGAGCTAGTCTCATGCCCAGCCTCGCCCTCTAAAGAAATTGTGCTGGATCAGCAGCCTTGTGATCATTACATAACACACGCAAGTAAGTTTGGATACGCTCGCGAATACGCGGCGTGCACGGAGTATCGCTCTACGTGGTCACATGCTGTACGTGACGTTACCCGAGTACGTAGAGGGCGAAGCTGGGCACGCTCGCTTCAAAAACCGTGAACCGAAAAATCAGAACGGTATATACGTATCGATAATCGAAAAACAGGAATCGATAATCGAAATAAAACCGGGAATCACAACGAGCGCTCTATTTTTGTCGCATTTGGCGTTCCATAAACAGTTCCATTCCCTAATCGCGGTCTGTTCGGACCATCACTCGCTCCCGCTCCCCCGATATTGTGGTGGGAACTGCCTGTGGTGCTTATAGCCTCGCCGAGTTTGTGGGACGCTAATTTTGACCTCCATCCTCCCAACGTTACCAACGCTCTGATCTGTTGAATTACCTCCACGAATTGGCAGCAAGAAGAAAAAAAGATGACGAATGTAACTTTTGCGCTATGTTTTTTGATTACCGGAATACCAGCATTATGTAAGAATGTAGTACATCTTATTATAGGACCAACTGCATAATTAATGCTTTACGTAGGTTTGGATGGGTTTGGTGGTTACTAGTCTGATCTCCTGCATTATACAGAAGGAGATTATTTTACTTGTTCCACAAACCTAAAAGCTACCCATCCTCAGTGGGAGATAAATGGTGTAGTATATGAAGTGACCGATCTTCCACCAGGAATTTTCTGTCAATGGTCTTAGAATATAGTTCCACTGCAAGAACAGTTCAAAATTAGGATGATTCGCTGTATTTTTAAGCTATATTTAGATGGATCTGTTGTCATTATTTACAGCAACACTATTTCTCTTACAGATGAAACTTGTGTGGTAAGTTTTATAAGGGTTGTGTACGAACCAGAAGTCTTGTGGGTTCATGGTTTTTTGTAAATTTATGAAATCTCAAAACACAACTTCACCGCTGCTTAAATATGGCATGGTATGTAGCTTGCTATCTGTTTGTCAAAACACAAGTATTATTTTAAATCTTGAAGTATAAGTTGCTAAGGTCGCATGACTATCGCTTAAATTGCACCTTGTTGTCATTAACCCTCGGCGCGCATGCGCAGCGAGGGTTACGGTAGTCGTTCTACTAGCGCGGGTAGTCCAGCCCATCCCATTAGCGGTACCGCGCATGCGCAGTTCGCCGAGGGTTTGCACTTTAGTGCTCAATCTGCATTTATGGCCATGCAACATTTACTCTAATTGTCGATTTTTTAAATCTGTAGCACGGAGAGATAGAAGTCAATTCCCAGAATGTCAAAAAGAGAACATTACATTCGTAAATGATATGCAGGTGTCACGTGTACATGTAGGCCTTGGTGAAGACTGTTCCTTGTCTGTTAACATTTCAAGATGTACGGATCCCGATAATGAAGTCGAGGGACATGTAACATCCATCCATCAAACTGAAACAACAATTGAAATTGAGAATATTGAAGTGTTTTATGGAAGTGGTGTCATAGTCACAGTTGATGACATTTGTGATGACTGTGAGCAAAGATTCTTCATTCCTGATATGAAACCTACAGGTTAGCCATGATTGCTATATACACTTATAATTATCTGTGATTAATTCCTCTGCAGAGAACAAGCTAATTACAAGAAATTTTACAGGACGTATAATTGATGACCTCTCCAACGACTATGGCTGTGATTTTGGCAGTCCGGTCATTGACTACAAAATATGCATACGTTCGCAAGGTTGCTTTGCAACTCCATGTGGAAATGATCAAATCTTCACATCATTTTGCAATCAGAGCTATCCTAGTGGACAAAGAATTGGTCTTGAAGTTAGCCGAGTTGAACGTGATACTGTAGTTTGCATTTTCTGCTCCAGAATTGACTGCAGGGGACTTTTCAGCAATGTCATGTTATTCAACATTGGAATTACAGGTATGTTTATAATTTAATTCTAATTATACGACAATCCAATGTTCAGTGGTATGTGACGATTGTAATGAGAATGCTGAATGTATTGAGGGGAAATGTGTTTGCAAGGAGAATTACACAGGAGATGGAACATTATGTGAGCAAGTAACAGGCAAGTTCAAACCTCAGTTATACTTTTATTTTAACTAATTGCGTTTTGATTTCTAGTAAGGTGTGAAATGTGTGCAGATAATGCTGAATGTATAGAAGGAAAATGTGTATGTAAGAAAAATTACACAGGAGATGGATATATTTTATGTGTCAAACAAGAAGGTATTATAATATTATGTCCAATTGAATAAGTATGAAACTAATCATTCAAGTATAGCAGACATCACCCTTGAAGTTCCAACATTACCTGGATCAGTTTCTCTTCACTTCGGAAGCAGCTTGCCAGTTCACACGTCTCATGTAACTACTGTGGGAAGCTCTCCTCAAGGCTTTTATCATCAGAATATTATTGGTAAAAATGTCTCATATGCGTAGGTATATACATTTTTATTATATTCACAGTTGGAGTTTCGACAGCTACAACTACTTTGGTATTCTTATTTATTATTCTTGGAATTGTTGTTTGGATGTACTGTAAGTCAATTAAGTTTTTCTTCACATTATTCTTACTGTTCTGATTGCCCATACTGGCAGGTCAATGGAAAAAGAAAGGTGTCTTGTTTTGTTTGCATATGTATCTGTTCTTTTTCAATTTGTGTATTTTCAATTTTCAGGAATGAAGAAGGAGACTCATGGTAAGATTGCAGGTTTATCTAGTGTAAGGTCCTAATATTTTCACCTAGTGTATGAGGAGGTGTACGTGCTTCATGATGCTGTGACAGAAAATACAGTTATGGACAAAAATCCAGCATATGTAAACCCAGGGAAAATGAGGCTTGAAGAAAACCCTGCTTATGTCTCTGCCAACAAACCATTGACCACTACATCCAACTAGTAACTGGGTAGATCATTCATGTAAGCCATCAGGAAAGTATAACACCTTTTTCTAAAGAGTATGTTCTTCTTTCCCCAGCTTATTAACAAATCCACTGAATCAAGCATGATAACTCTGTACAAGCTCATGAAAATGAATGGGTGTATGAAGTACTTTAAGGTTACTATTCATTGTGGCTACTAATTTTAGCGTTTTTGCACAGATAATTTTTGGCGTATATTAATTTTAGCGTTTTTGTCCCCACATCATTTTTGTGTGCAATAATGTATGAATGTATGATGATGACAACCAGCCAAAGTTTGTGTATCCATGCAATTTCTTGTGCTCCAGCTGACCCAAAGTAGAACCACAAAGCTCTGAAGGCTTTCTTTTGTTTCCAGACTCCAGAGTAAAGTTCCAGTAGAGTATAAACACGTGAAACTACGTGTATAATTATATAGAGCGCGGAAATTACGCGGTATGCGCCCGCAAGCTTCTCGCTAAAGTCGCTTAAAATTTAGTAGCAGTAACCTATTTGAGACAGTGAAAGACTAATACATCTTTCCGGCTAGCATACTGGAGTTTGCGGTCTCTGGTTGCTTTTTTGTCTGTTAGAAGATAATAAGGGTCCTCACTGTGTGTGTGGTACTGTCACTTATATATAGTAAGAAAAATACCTGGTTCAAGGGGTTTATTGAAGATGTACAGGATACAATCACGTATGACGCTCTGCAGATCACGAGAGATTTAAACACTAAAATCATCTGTGTGTGACAGATGTTAGGTATACGCATAGCACAACATATATACCTTTAGATATTCACGAGCACTAACATGAATATTTGTGGGCAGAGGACGTCATGTGCAAGGTGATGAGCCATAACTTAAACTCCTCCGTGTCACATTTTCTAAAGGCCCAATAAAAACATAGAAATAGCTAAGCAGTTAACACAGTGAGAAGTGTGCAATGGCAGCTCCGACTGCAGTATTGTGTGCGATGGTACTTGCAGGAATGACAACAGCATGTGAGGGAGCTATATAAGATGAATGTGCATTTTATGATGCAGAACAATAACTGTACGAAACGGGGCCTGTGAAAGAGTGACGATATATAGCTACTACTTATTGAGTCGATCGGAAACCATGATAAACGGACAGTATAATATTGCGCTACTAGTATATAGCTGCGTTAACGTCTGTCTGAGGTATAGTTAACACTGGTAGCTAGCCGCTTTATGTGAATCGCCGATGCGGATATTCGTCCATCTTCTCCCGCTTGCACCTTTAGCTACGTATCTTACTAGTAACGCAGCTCTCTGTGATGGGGTACTACTACTGTCCGCGGGAACCTGGCAAATCCGAGGCAAACCGCATGCTCAACCACGCTCGAGAGGGGAAAATTTTCGGTGAGCTCAGTAGGTCTGCTTGGCTCAGTTAAGGATTTAATCAAAGGGTTAGGCGATTCTTATGTATTTCTTAAGCTTGATGAGTTGCATGCTGACAGGAACGAGGGTGAGCAAAGGTGTAGTCGGGAGGTTTATAGGTTCCGTAATTGGCCTCCGAGCGACTGGTGAACAACTGCTGTGCTTGTTAGGTTCGCGGAATTTCTGTTACTTCTACAGCTTATGTTTTGCGCATTGAGCACAAGCACTTTAGAGGAAGTGGAATATAAATACTTTTAGATGCGCCAAAATTGCGTGGGCGTCGATATTTTAGTTATTTTTTTCAATAGCATGGCTAAAACGCTCGTGAATTATAGTGAATTTTGGTACCTGTCTCGGATTTTTCATTCCTTGTTTTACATGCTCATTAGCGTATTCATAATTATTCCTCCTCCATACATTCTCTATGGGAGAGAAAACCAGTGCGCGACTTCACCGGGAGCGAACGGTTCCTCGCGCAGTAGCTTTCTGCTTCCTACGGTACGCGCAGGCGTATTAAAGCCAGTTTCAAAAATGGGTGAGGCCACGTTTTGTATTCGTTGAACTTTGCCACGCAGGGGCTACCCCCATTTTTTCTGAATAGGACGCTTCCGCGTACCGTAGGAAACCACTGCGGGGTAGTGGAGACAGACCGTTCGCTCCCGGTGAAGTCGCGCACTAGTTTTCTCTCCCATAGAGAATGTATGGAGGAGGAATATGAGCTTGTAAAACAAGGAGTGAAAAATCCGAGACAGGTACCAAAATTCACTATAATTCACGCGCGTTTTAGCCATGCTATTGAAAAAAATTAACTAAAATATCGACGCCCACGCAATTTGGGCGAATCCCCTCGGCGCACTATATACGCGCACGTAAACGCATGCGCGGTACCACTAATTGATGGGCTGGGTTATAAGGGCGGGTAATTTGGAATTACCCGCTATTCCAAATTACCCGCCCTTACCTTACTAACTCGTGGTCTCTTGCTTGCTCGTTGAGAGTGACACAGGAGCTAACTACACTACTTGATAGCATGCGAAGGCGATACACGCCCTGCGTTGCAACTTATGGTGCCTCCGAGGTACGCAGAGCAAGCGGATCAGACCGAGGTAAGCCGTGCATATTGACTTTTCGCTCGTGTTTCACGCTGTAACTCTCGAACGCAGCATTTTCAGAGAAAACCACTCGAAATTTCTGACCTTCATTGCCCGTTAAGTAAGTCGTATCGTTTGTGAGACGAACGGACATTGGAGACAAACAGACAGACAGACAGACAGATAGATAGACAGACAGACAGACACACAGACACACAGACCCAGCTACTGTACCCTCGCTGCGCATGCGCGCCGAGGGTAAATTATGATAACTGTTTGAAATGAGTCACTATATATTGTGTAGGTATCGTAGGTATTGACTGTGCAGGTGGTTACTATGCCACAGTCGAGCCTGACTATGTGATAGCCTCTGAAGGGTATCTTGTTAACTTTACATGCTCCACAAACCTCAATGTCACTTATCCCAAGTGGAGAATCAATGACAGAGTGTATGATGTTACAAATCACCCACCTGAAATAACTTTCGAGGGAATGAGTATAAAATTTCGAATACCTGTAACAAGTGCCCAGGTGCGGTGCTTCATTTCAACATTTCTGGACGGAAAACTTGTTGATATCTGCAGCAATACTGCTACAACTCTTCTTCCAGAACGCACTCGTTGTAAGTTTATCAGCACCCTGCATTAACCAGACAACTCAATGGGCAACAGGAGTTTCTTCTCTGCCAGTAGACCTCTACAAGTGAAAAATCATTATTTTATTCATTTCATTTTTATCAGGTAATATCATGTTTTGAAGGCGACTTTTTCACCAAGCACACAGCTAGTGCGTCATACTTATTTAGTTAGGGCTCGAGAGTGTTCAGTATTTGATGAGAGTAAAATCAAAGCTGGCCTTGTGAAAACTGAATGCCCAAACAGCTGAATATTATTACAGGTTATGTTGTGGAAAGTGAGGCCACCACTGAAGATGTCTATTTGCATGTCAAATGCAAGCACTGAGTCTGGGGTATAATAGTTCTTTCCATTAGTCACAATATTTTTACCCAGCATTTGCTTTGAGGTAAATAACTACTTATTCGAAGTCTAGGGGTCTACAACTGGCCAGGAAGAAAGCATTGTATCCATTTCCATATTATTGTATTGTAACACTAATTATACATACAATTCTTTTAGTACGCAGGAATTCTGATTCTTTTCCTGAGTGTCAAAAAGAAAATGTAACAATCTCAAATGATATGGAGGTGTCAATGGTGCATATAAGCATTGAGCATGGAGGTGACTGCGAAGTATCCTTAAATTTTTCGAGATGTTCTGATCCGCAATTTGAGGTTGAGGCAAACGCAATGTCAGTTGGTAATTCTAATGTAATGGTTGGAATTGACTCCATCGAGACATTCTATGGGCATAATGTTACTGTTACAATGAATGACATATGTGATGGATGTAGGGAAAGGTTTTACCTACCTGACATGAAACCAACAGGTTAGTCTTAACTTAATACTTTCTGGTTTAAACATTAAAGGTGTCTTGCAGAATATACGTTCATTACAAAGGGACGGATAATTGATGACCTCTCCAATGACTATGGCTGTGACTTTGGTTCTCCAGTTATTGAGTATTCAATATGTATATACTCTGGAGATTCTAATGATTGCTTCGCAAATCCATGTGGGAACGGTCAGATCTTCACATCACTTTGCAGTGGTAGCACTTCAAGTGATGGAACAGTTGGTCTTGAAGTTGGGGAGGTTGAAAATGGAACAGTGGTTTCTATTTTCTGCCAGAGGACTGATTGCAGGGGTTATTTCAGTAATGTTCTGCTATTTAACATTGGAATATGTAAGTTTTACATGATGTATATCTGCTTACACTACAATTTAAACCAAAACAACCTTTCATGAATAATTATGAACCATGATAGTAATATTTTAAATTTCACTCAGAAAGTATCATGGGTGAGTTATCGTGAAGAAACCTGTATGTTGTTTGTTGACTTTTACTTTAGGCAAACGTTTTTGCTCGCGAAGTAATAATTATTATGAATGTCCCCTGCAGTGACATGTGAAGATTGCAATGAAAACGCTGACTGTATAGAGGGACAGTGTGTGTGTAAGAGGGGTTATACAGGAGATGGATTATCATGTGAAGGAGGCAAGTTTAAATTTATTGCTCACATAGAATAATGAATAATTATTATGATGGAACAAAGACCCACATGTTTGAGGATTGATTTTCTGCACCAGATTTGTGGCACAGATTCTCAAATGATATGATACAACTATATATAGTCTCCTAATCTGTCTGGCCTCTTGATATGCCTAGTTGTGTCTCTTCGTGCAAGAATCTGCTCATACATCAGTTCAGACAGATGTCTTCAGTATTTTTATCATCCTCTCCGTACTGTATCTCTTTTCTTCAGTACCACCTGAACCAAGTTCTCTGTACATTTCCATGGAGTGCAATGTTCCAGTTAGTGAGGGTAGACCTGTTTACATAAGCTGGACGGTTAGTCTCCCATCACTGATCATACTATAGCATTGTGTGTGTGTGTGTAGATTGGTGACAGAGAGGAGGAGACGATGCATCCAGATGAAAAAGTAGTGGCAACAGTGAATCTGACTCGTCTGGGAGAAACTCCTGGAGAAACTGTCTGCTCTGCTGTGACCACCACCAGTTGTATGACTAACATCACTGCAGATGGCAACTATACTGTATCTCTCATTCTCAGTAATGGATTTGGATCATCTGAGCCTATATCCTTTTCTTTTAACTGTGAGTAACTAGCTAGGACGTGTAAAACTTTACACTATAACCCACATTTGGAGCAAAATCTCAGAGTTTGATTGTTAATATGGAGTTGCACATTTATCTGCAGCTACCGCAATGAAGGTGGAGGCTAATCTCGACAGAACTCCCCCCAGTGTAACTTTCACCATCAATGAGTACTGTGCTGATATGAGTATCTACAATGTCACTGTGTCTTTTGGACTGAGGGAGAATGGCAGCAGTAACTGTGACTTCCAGCAATATAACAGAGTCATCTTAATGCCAGGGATTCCAGTGACGTTGTATACTTCATTAATGATGAGTGACAGTCTGGAGTACTGCTTTAACACTACTGTTCAGGAGCCTCCTTGTGAGTTTAATTAACCATTGGTGTGTATACGCAGCGAAGGGTTACAACTTACCTTTCTTGTTCTATCTGTCTGCAGCTATTCTGGTACTATAACAGGCTACAAGGTGCCCTACGAGCGATACCAGACCTACGAAGGCATGAAAAATATTTTTCTGAAGCGACTGCTTTCAAGATGGCATTAAAACAAGCAAAAAAACCAATATCCATATTAAGCACAGGGTTAAGCTGGTACATTTAGCCAAGCCTATCCTTAGCTCCGAGCCCAAGTTCTACTGTAGCCCGAATGCAAGTTTGTAGCAGCACCCCTGTCATAATTGTGATTACCTTGTAAACAGCAGTGCATAGCGGAGGAAGGTGGTTTTCATCAGGGGGGCACAGGTATAGTCGGGTATGAGCATCCCATAATTATTATAAAAAGAAGTGTGATGGTTTTCAAAGGGGACACATGCCCCTGGACCCCCTGCTTCCGCCGCCTTTATATGCAGTGTAGATATATAATAAATGTCCTTGTTTTACTGCCTCATCAGCATAATCTTATGAGAATTGCTCCTACACTGAACGAGGTGCTCGAAAGCGAATGTTCGTTAATGGCGACAATATGCTAAAGGGTTGTAAAATATTATGGTAAAAATTAATTACCTATTGCTTCGTAATAATAGTATATATCCATGCAATTTTGCACCAATACCCTTTTGCATCCCATACAGCCGCTCCATGTTCTGAGACTATGTCCGTAGTAACTCTTGGTGTTGCATTTGGATTAACCTTTTTGTTACTCTTACCTCTTCTGTGTGTCGTCATCTTCACCATCAGGGTAAATTATAGCCAATAAATAGTGTATTAATTAACCCTCAGCGTGCATGCGGTACTTGGTTTGTGTGTGGGTACCACATTTTCTGGGACTATGCGCAACGAGACAACAAAACAGCGATTCCAACGGGTTCATCGCTACAGTGGCTTAATTTTTTTTTAAAAGGCGATTTTCCTAGCTATAACTATATTGCGTTCAAAAGTTATGGCACAAGCCACTGGCAGGAGCACAAGCTTACACTACCTCGACCGGGTCCGCTTGCACTGTGTACTTTGGAGGCACAAGAAGCCACAAAGAAGGGCCTCCCACATGCTATCTACTACTGTAGCTGGCCTGTGTCAGACTCTGCGCGAGATATATACTAGCGTGGAAACCACAAGTAAACACATACTCTTTGGCCCAGCCAACCCATCAATTAGTGGTACCGCGCATGCGCAGTGCGCCGAGGGTTTGCACTGTAGCTAGCTGGGAGTGGTTCCACAGGGTTCTTGTCCACTGACCTTTTCTATTACACAGCCAAAGGGGAGGGCTCATAGCCACAATACCACAACAAATGTTGTATTAAGTATAGGTTTGGTCATGAGCACCAGGGAATAGAGCATACTTGCCATGATCAAACCTACTTGGAAGCCGGTTCCCCAGCACAATGGCTGAATTGCATATAAGGAAAGGAAAGTGGGTGTTGATTAGGGAGTATATAGCAGCTGTTGGTGTTCCATAACACTCTGTTTCTGGAGTAACAATTATAGGCTGTCCTTCATAAAAACAAGTCCGAGTTTATTATAGAAGTCTTTCTCTTCTCACCTATACTATGACATCTGTTCACACAGGAAAGGAAACATAGGTGTTCTCTCAGTCCTTATACAGAGCGAAACAAACCGCAGGCCATACCCTTGGAGAGTAAGAAAGCTCATTCGTCAATGTGTCTACTGTGAAATACTAACAGTGT